TAACAGTTGAAATATACCTTTGTTCCAATAGTTGCAAAAGATGCAAATTTATTGCAGGTAATTCCTATAGCCGGAACGAATTTCCCTTTCACCATTACATTAACACACGGATTTAACCATGTCAGGATCTAATATGAATAAAAGTTATTATATAACACGTTATTAAATAAATAGTTATAATTCATTTTATCACACAGTGGATAAACTGCATAATTTTATCAATAGATTATGCGATTGAAATCCGAAAGGGTAGTGCAAGGCGGATCCGATAAAAATTCCAGATCGCTATTCGTATTTTTATTATCATGAGGACAAAAATCTTCAAAAGAAGTTATTATACAGTTTTACGAGCTTTTTCGTTGCAGCTTTGGTTTAAAAGAATAAAAATTTTAATGATACTGCCCCTTAAAAAAGAGACAATAAGTCAACATGTCATGAGCATGCAACAACAATTTTATCATACAAACCGCGACTCTATCTTCCAGTGCCTGTCAGATTTCTGTCACCAAACGGGTCCAAAACGACGATTCTTTTTCAGTGCTCTCTTTCAAAGAGCCATATTTGACCATGTGTTGAATACTTTCTTTCAAATGCTCTTCATGAACATGACCAATGGCAATCCTATGGAACTGAATCACCAGAAAAATATATTACAAGTAGTGGTCCGCTAGAAATTATTTTTCCCTCATAAAAAATGAAGATAAACAAGGATGATGTTAGTGAGCATGAGTGAATATATTTATTGAGCATGCCAATCTTTCAAGTATCATACAGAAGTAATTTACCATGGCATCTGTGCAAAGAATTCCAGCCACACCTTTGTGCCACCTTGGTTGTTGACCAGAAACTAACTCTGTAATGACCTTTTTGTAAATTTTGTACAATCTCGGACATTCATTGATCCATGTCTCTCCAATCATTGTGACCCAAGCTATTAAAAAACCCTATATAAAAATATCGATTTTTAACTATTAACTGTGAATGTATGCATTCTATTACTAATGTAAGTCTGCCGTGAGCATGACTACATGACTGAGTAATGTAAGCATGACATTCTACCCATGCAACTAGAAAATTAATGATATGACAAGCACAGCTGTATTTTAAAGTCACGTAATTTTTTATATAGAATTGTAGGCATTGGGGAAATTTTATCTTTTGGATCACTAGTCCTCACCAACAATAATAATATTTTCGATGGTATAATATTGCAATGTTAGCAATAACCTTACCTTTACATAATAAATCAATAATTTCATTTAAAATATATTAAAAATCGAACTTAATAAATTAAAAGATTCAAAACTGACCTTGAATTCTGTAACCAGCCTTACTAACTCGTTTCCTAATTGATGCTGGTTCTCACTTGAAAAGTTTTCGTCATATACGTAGTTCATAACTATGCATCTGCCGAATATTCTAAAAGATAGAGTTGACATCGTTATATTTGACTCTTACTCTCCGCGCGCGTTTTCTTTTATTTGCGTGTGTCAACACCAACATGATCTCTTTCCCAAAATTAAGGCCTGCTATGTCTTAATTGTAAAAATCTCCAAAATTTATACCTTAATTTAACAAATCCGCAACTACCACAAGCATTAAACAAGTCGTTTTGGTATTGAAGTAATGGCCTTAGGGCTAGGGTAAGATTGGGGTCGGATTAAGATTGGGTTCGGATTAGGTTTAGATTCGATTAGGGTTAGAGGTTGGGTGGGGGATAGCTTTCAAACTAAGGCAATGCCTTAATTTGATGCTTTCTGGCCGTTAGGACGTAGCCTTAATTCTGGAAAGAGACCATGCTGGCTACACGCACAAAGATCATAAAAACTAAAAAGACGACTAAGGATGAGTCAGTAGTAGACCCCTCGAGGTGGGTTGCCATTATCCTTGATTCTGACAATTGAACATTCTTGTACCCAGATCCCTTCTTATGCATGGTCAACAGAGTGCGACGATGAGCTCTGGCCAGATCCATAACCGGATATCATAAAAACATGGTATGAAAACAATATTTGGTGTTTGAATTAGCCAATCAGATGCCAATTCGAATATGGACTTGGCTAGAGCCCCTCATCACACCGCAACTTCCCAAGCCAGGGTCTTTTTAATACTACCGCACGCGAGCGCGGGTAAAAGCAATCTCGAAACCAGAGCCCGCAATCCTCTGTGGAGGCTTGCTCCACAGAGGATCGCGGGCTCTGGTTTCGAGATTGGGGTAAAAAACACTGGCTTGCGAAGTTGGTCGCACCGTGTGTAAGAAGGGCTCTGGGTACGAGAATGACAATTGAACAATTACATAGTTGTGTTACATTTATACTTAGCGCCATAAAATTATAAACAATTATCTTGTAAGTTAAATGTCCGTACGTCATCATTTTTTAGTACATACTCTACATAGCCAAAACTAGTCTTAATTTTTGGACCATGAAAGGACTTGAAAGATCTGACCAACAATTAACATATCACACATTGCGCCGTTTGTTTTTAAGGTTTAATTTTGTATAAAAGACAGCCTTACTTGAAATAACTTCGGAGATGCATAAAACTCATGTTACTGAATACTGTATACTTTGACTCAGTTTTCTGCTTTGAAGTAACTCGTCAACACTTCATATAATTTATGTCATATACAAACATTATATTTTCTAGCAAAATTATAAAAAACTTAGTCAATGGCAATTTTGATAATGTAGTTGCAAATTTACTGAGGATAATATCAGGGTTAGTACCTTTCACTCTCTCTAGAATTTGAGCTGAGTAGCATATTGCCGATAGGAACCGAAGTGATCCCTGTGGAAGTCTAGATTGTACAGCCACTAGAAACTCGTTCAATGGACCAGTGAAAATCGGATCATCCACCAGGCAAGTTAAATTTGTCGCCGCAAGATTTGTCATCAACACTTTTCTATAAAACAGGACACTTCACCATAGGCAATTTCATGTTCGTAAGTAAGTTTGAAATTACTCAATTCGGGCAGAACACCATGTAGATTCATTTCTACATAAATACAGTTGTTAAGAGTATATGGTATTCTCCACAAATTTACTAATTTCAAGTCTAAATCATCAAGCAGATATTCAAATAGTGCATTTAAATTTGTATTTTGATCTGAATAGTCATGCATATATTTTTAAGTGATTATAATTTTATGCTCGTCAGTTATGTTAAAACGATCTTTTCCTATTGTAGTATAGATCTTGCTGTCAATTTAGCAATTCAGCATCCTTCATTCATTAAATGTTGAGAGCTTTCTTCATTATTGAACTGCTGGTCAACAAATCACTGCTAGTAATAATCAAACTTTCATTGATAACAAATGTGTGAACTCTATCACGTAACTGAAAACTTTCATGGGGTGTTCAAAGATTCCGGCAACTGAATTTTAGATGATACTGATACTTACACAGATGTCCCACTGGTGTGTTGATCACCTCCAGAACAGAACAACGGATTCGTGCTTGTGCTGATTCCTTGCCCTAATGCCAAAATCCTCATGGATAGCGTTTTGCCCACATTTCTGTTTTTCATGGTCGAGAACAGAATACCTATGGAACCTTCATCTAAAATAATTTTGAATTACAACAAACAACGTAAATGAATATTTTATTTTATCAGCTAAATCCTGAAAAAGAAAACAGTTAAACTAAAGTTTGAAAGATCATAACATTTTAACAATTATTCGTCGAAGGTGAGGTGATTATCGGGTCCCGATAATCACCGAGCCTGATGCGAGTAAGTTTTTTTGTGTTTTTCTGGTCTGAATTCATTTTAAGTCTGTATCACTAACTTCAACAAAAGTTACAAAACGGATAGCCGGCATGAATATGTAGGTGAATATGACAGATTAATACGTCAAATTTGACCAATCGGCACCTTGTAGGATTTGTTACGTTCACTTGTACAAAAAATACTAAATCCATTTGAAATGCTTTTTTTGTAACCTATTAATATGTATCCTATAAATTTGAAATGCTTTTTTGTAACCTCATATTAGTAGTCTATCTGTTAAGTATGGCTCAATATATATTTACAATGGCAATGCTGATAATGCTAAAATAATAATTTATAAAGTTCACCTGAGAATTTCTTCTCATGCTCGGTTTGCAAGACGGATTTGAGATTGTTGTACACAAAAAAACGGCGTCTTATTAACACAGAAGTTCTCAGCTAATTCAATATACCTAAAACAAAAAATACCATTTGAGAATTTCGGGATTGGCCGGGATTTAAGATGGCGTTTTAAAAATGCATATACATGTACAAATGAGCTGAAAAAGTAACTTTATCACTATGTTCGCACCTTGTACAAATCGTCTTCAGAAAGTCTTCCTTTAGAACATTGTGATTCAAGTCCGTTGACAGAGAATACAAATTTGGCTCTGTTAGAAAATATTTATGTTCTGCTCGTTGAAGGACATGTCGATCCTCAATATGAATCTAATGCATAAAACATTAATTGATGATTTGTTCACATCATCATGAATCATGAGAAACATCTGTGGTGTTTTAGTTTATTATAATTGATAGGGAGTAATACTGTATGCCTAATAAGCAACAATTTCTGTTATGGAATTAAAGGTTCCTAGTGTGTACTGCTCAATGCAACGGCGTTGGGGATGTGATGACCCCCGCCCTCACGGATATTTCTATATTTTCCTAAACTAGAAAACTTCCCTCCAATGAGAAATGTCAAAGTGCAGAGCCATTGGCACAATAATGACAATCGTTAATTGTTGTTAAGTGCATTATCAGACTGAACTCATGCCTGGTTCGTCCATTATGCAGTTCTACTGATAAGAGAGCTTAAGGTTGTACGTGAAAGAACGTACGTGATGAGAAAAATATCGCATTTCCAGCTCTATGTTATGTGCCAGTGCAGTTTCCCTAAACGTGAGTGAGCAACTATATATTTAAAACTAAATTTGCATATGACCGGCTGCGCTTACGTCACGTGATAAAATCCAATATCCTTTTTCTTGGTACCCCAAATGATCAGCCTTATAAAAATCACATTGGTTATCAATATCTTCTTTAAGGTACGTGTAAAAATCGCTTATGGTGCTTGATGTCACCCAATCACTAAGATTTAGCACACCAGAACCTATAGAGCATCTAAGGTCTGTCAGAAACTTTGTCTTGGAGTCAAATGCGCTTGCAGAAAGAACGACACGTCTAAAAGGGAAATTAAGCCCTATGATTAGATTTACGGTCAGATTTAAAATTAGAATCAAGATAACATGTAACATTAGTTTTTGGAAAAGACATATTTCGTGTTGAGTTGCATAAAGCAGATATTAATGAAAGCGAGATTCTTTCGTAAGACGCATTCATCCTACACTGCGTGGTTGTTTTAGCGGTTTCTTGATAATCATCTTTTCAAAAATAACGTCAACCAGTGCTGCCAATGCTATTATATAATAAATTAAGCTAATATGGTTACAAATAAATCAAGCAAAAAAAAGTACAGGGCAAAAGGGACGGGATACATTTGTAAAACTCCGTAGTAAATTTATTTATTCATTACGGACAACCGCCTACTATCGCACTGCGTCTTAAATACTTGAGTCTTGACAGCGAGGCTCACATGTGACAGGACATAAAAGTATTCACAACGTAACAACTTATCAGAACAGAAAGGTATATTTTGAGCACACTAACAGTGTATGTTTTCACGGTGTCTTTTCCTTATCGTTTTCTACTGTTTTAAGGTGTGGTCATTATTTATGGGGAGGGGGGGAGGGTTTGGGAAATGGGGAAAATAAGGATTGAAAACTTTTTTGACCCCCCCCCTCCAGACTGAAGGCAAACTTTTTGTGCCTCCCCCTCATAAAAGTAGAAACTTTTCTGACCCCCCCCCCAGTGTGGATTGAAAAATTAACAGCAATGAAGGTAAGGAAGCGTTGCAGGTAAAGTTAGATATTAGGACAATCTGTTTAATCTAGCTCATGATGTTTTACCCTGGTGAATATGATTCAACCATATATGATTAAAAAATATATATTATGTGTTACTACTTTGCAATGCAACATTTGTCTTACCATAACCCTAACCCATGACCCGTCTTCATACAGCGAAATGATTTTAACAGGGGTTTTTTAAGAACTTGTCTGGGGGGGGGGTGGCATCTACAAAAAGGGACCATACTATATTGAGTGTGGAGAGATGACAGATGGTTGTTGGTGACAAAACGTTTGGTGTGGTATCGTATGTACTAGTAGGGGGTCTGGGGGTATTCTCCCCCAGAAATTTTTTTGTATTTTTCCACCCCTAGAACTGAAATGTGAGCATTTTCTGAAACAGATTTTTGGATATACAGCGTTACATTGTGCGTTGATAGACCGAATCTGATCAGTTAACTTAAGTGTACTTGCATGGTATGTTTATGTAAATACCACAACTTGGTCACTCAGGGGTAGAAAGCTTGTTAAACTTAAGCCTGGTTCACATATATGCCTGCGACGTACCGGCGACGATGCCGGTGGTAGCTTAAAATTACGTGAATTATGTGCATATTTGTTCGCCAATTGCCTCCAGTGCCACAGTTATATCGGCCGTAGGCCGGGAACTACGGTTGACTTGAGTTCAACTTTGCCGGTATTTCGGCGGCAAGTAGAGGCATAATCATACAGTTGCAGGCATACCGCAGGCATATGTGAACCAGGCTTTAGTGAGCCCGACTCCCACGATCGCGAGGCGCGCTACCATGGTTGGCGCCGAGCAGGGAAATTTTGAAAAGTTTGAGTCTCTAGATCGTTGGAAATAGCATTTTCAGAGTCTTTAAGTTTAAAAACTTTTATGACCCCCCTTTTCTCTGTGTTAAAACTTTTTTGACCCCCCCCTATTTATAAGGGTAAAACTTCATTTGCCCCCCCCCCTCCCATTTCCCAACCCCCTCCCCATAAATAATGACCACACCCTAAACTCTCTTGGAACATAGGATAGGAAACGCATATGAAAACGACATCGTGTAAACATAGCCCAAGTCGCATACTTTGTGTCCAGCTGCGAGTGGGTGTTTGATGTACAAACACAGAGCCAGTGTCCAATGCTGTCGGTTGTCTTTGTCTGTGAAGTTTGTTGTGATTGTAGTTGCCCCAGGAGTTTCAATGTAAAATCGCCAAACATCAAAGTTTCATCATTTGAGTTAACACAAAATGTTTTGCCGTTGCTCACGATGAATTTTAAAGCCTGCCAATTGAAAAAATCACTAATGTTTAACAATGGCAAATTATATAATGTACATTCTTTATACTAAAAAAAAACTAGTAGAAGTCTAAATGAATTGCCGTTAATTAGTAAGTTAAATTAGCTGTTTTTAACGCGTACGAGACAGGGGGCCAATAGGGGAAGTTGGACCCAGTTAAGATTAAAATCGGGCAATATTTAGGCAACTGTTCGATTTTAAGCAGACTCCGCGTTTTTCACTTTGTAAAATAAATATTTATTTTGCTAAAGATTCGATTTTATTTTAAACGACATTTTGCACCAAACGAAAAGCACATGTGATGTGACTCCTTAGATTAATATCGGTAAAAAATTCCAGAAGGTCCGTTTACACTTACAACTTCCGGCAAGATTATTGGCAAATCTGCAAGGTAAACACCCTGGGTAACACGACTAATTTTTCATATAACACTAATTTTGGATAACACGACTATTTTTTTCATATAACACTAATTCTGGATAACATGATCAGTTTTTCATATAACACATATTTTGGATAACATAATTTTTCATATAACACTGATTTTAGATAACACGACTAATTCTTCATATAACATTAATTTTAGATAACATGACTATTTTTCATATAACACTGATTTTGGATGACATATCTTCTGGAATAACTGCCATGAAAAAGATAAAGGATCTCACTAATTCTGATACTTTGAAGTCGGTCTATTATATGGTCTTGTCCAACCCCATTTCGACTACTGTTGTGAAGTTTGGAATGCCATTAATACGGGCCAGTCTGAGTGACTACAAAAACTTCACAACAGATGTGCTAGAATTATAATGAACTTTAGAGATGAGCCTGGGCAATCTCAACTGGCCCTCGATCAATTTAGGGTGGATAAGCTTGGAAGAAAGACAAGAAAGGCGAAAACACAGTATGGCCCGTCTCATGTTTAAGGTTATCAATAATTTGGCACCATTGAGGTTCTCATCAATGTTCCAGAATTCTAACCATATCCACAGTTATAATTTACGAGGTTCAAATTCGTCTCTCTTTCTGCCACGACCAAATACCGAGTATGGCAGAAAATGTTTTCGATATAGTGGGGTTAAAATCTGGAATAGCATTCTGGAACAAGCTAGTAAGAAACAGCGAATCTTTAAATTCTTTCAATAGAAATATTTCCTCTGTTAGTCTGACGAATTAGCTATTCGACTTTTGTATACCATTTGTTTTGTTTTAGTAATTTTGTATGTTATATACTTTTGTAACATTTATCTAAGCCCCACTTGGAAAGCAGCTACGGTTGAAGTGGCCAGCGTAGTCAAATAAAGTTTTATCCTATCCTATCCTACATGAATTTTCACAAAACACTAATTATGATTCCTTGCGACCTTAAGGACTAGAGCATGCGCGGTCTAATATATGCATGTTTTTACATATCGCTGAATTTAGTGAATTTAAAATTTAAGTATATTTGGAGACTAAATTATGACATCTTCTTGTGCAAGTATTAATGGCAATACAGCTAGGAAACTTTTGAAAAATTGTGCCAGTAATCTTGCCGAGGTGTCACAACTTTTAGCATTAAATGCGGAAAATGGAATACAGTTCTGCAAATAGCAACAACGCCAAGATTGAGCATCAATCTAGCTGTTAATAAACAATTTTTTTGACAGACTCCATACTCTGACTCCGTAACTTCGCACCCCGTCTTTCCCACCATGCCACCGGTGATGAACGTTTGATTAAAAGGGTGTTTTCTTTATATGCAAGATTGTATGCATTCATATTTTTTCACACCCAACTGATGTTTGCTCAAATTTGTCACGCGCGCAGATGATAAATGTATTTCAGTGAAATATCTAGTGAACTAATGTAATGATATATACTCATTAGTGATATTATAACAATGAACTGATTTTACCCCCCCCCGTCGCCCAAAAAATTTCGGTCAGTGTACCATTTTAGGGGTCAAAAAAATTTTCCCGACAACCAATATTTTTCGGAACATCACACAAATTTTCGAAAAATCACAAAATTTGCCAAAAAATTTACTTCATTTTAGACAAAATTGACAAAATTGTCCCATTTTTTTTTATTGCAAACCAAAATTGCCCGACTGTTGATCGAATATTGCCCGACTGCCCAAGTACGCCTATGTCTCATGATGTGAAATGTCAACCTCACAGGGTGGTCATTTAAAATAATAGAGAGTTTAAGATCTACAACGTGGCCAGGGGCAACTCAAAGAACACGCTAACATAAAGACAACATTATAAGTTTGCAGTGCAGCACACGATAGCTATTTCCTGCATGAGCAAAATATAATTCGTTCCTAGCTTTGCTCAGCAAATAAATCGCCATTCGCGTTTGAATTTCACTTAGTTTTTGCCCCCATGCAACCCTGAGATCAAACATGTTCGTATACCGCATGCTTTACGTAAGACAAAAACTATTAGTAATTTGTAGTCCCAGAGGTCTATTTTGAAAGGCGTTGACCCTCTCAAGTTCCAACACCGCAATTCTCAATCAAGCATTTTTACGTCTTTCAGGCCACGTGCAATAGAAGTCGGGCTTTGTGCAAATATAGCTGAGACACCGCATGCTTTTTCCAGAACTTTGGTGTTTTTAAGGGTAATTGAGGAGCTGGACACAATTGTTATATTTAGATTAATATTGAATTAGAGAATATATTATAGTGCTAATTAAAATGCTTAACTGCATATTCTCGGGCCGAAACGTGCGTCGTCCGACTGCCAACGCCGTAAATCTTAAACTCTGAAATGTATTGGGATTTGGTGCAAATCAAAACTTTTAAGTTTGGCCAGCTATTGTTTCAGTCCAAAATCAATGGTGAGCAGAATGACATACACTGCTTAATTCTCGGTATATTTTTAAAAAGTTAAATAAATAGGTCACTCTACCTGCTCATGATTCTCCAATTCAATATTTTCGTTACTTTCATCCATCATTCCAGAGTATAAAGTAAATAAAATCAAAATGCTTTTTTGGTCCCTCTTTGATCGAACTAGAAAGACTGTTGAACGCCGAATGCAGCTATGGGTGGGTGTGCAACACGAAATGGCTTTGTAATTTAATATTTTAGTCAACTTTTGTCAAAAATGTTTGACTTTACGCAACAATCGAGGAATTCCGTCTGTCGGATTAGAATTCCGTATCTTGCATCTGGCGCCGTATTGCCGATAAGGCAGAGAAAATGTCGCACGCAAAAGACTTTTCATTGATCATTTCGTGCTTTAGTGGCCGACTGGCTAGGACTTGAAAAATTATGCAAGAAGAACAGAAAAAAAAACCCTCTGGCAGTAAACGAGGCAAAGGATCATGTACAGGTTGTGGAGAAGAGTATGCTTGTCGATTCAAGCCTGAAAAATGTAGTAAATGCGGCTATGATTTAGGCAGATCGTTCGAGCCAAAGAATGCGAAGCGCTCGAAAAAATGCAACCCTGACGTCGTTCGAGTCACGCCCAAAATATTTTCAGTGAAAACCAGCAAGAAAGATGATCGGTGTTTTGTTGTGAGAGAAGGAAATAATATTATATGCTTGCACAAAGACTGTAAGGAATTAAGGGCAACATATTCGGCAACTGGTAGCTTACATACATTCAAATGCAAGCATGTGAATGACATACACAATTTTCCAACAGCCAACCCACTGAATGTCTATTTTCTTGACGAAGAAATAATTTTAAATTATTTGGGGGATTCATCTGCTAAAAAAACTCTAAGTGATCTACTAGATATCATTCCTGCAGACCATCCTTCCGTTTCTTGTGTCACAGACTCTTCCTATGTAGTATTTGGACGACCCTCTGCAACCAATACGGTCGGATACTGCCATGTTCAAGTGATTTCGGATGAAAATAGAGTTTATAAATGCACAAGTAAGAGTTGCCGAAGTTTTGTTAGTAAAACGAAGCAGGAAAAAATTTGTTCAACGTGCCAACATTTGCATTTGTTGTACTGTCTCCTGCATGGAAATAATGATAGGAGAATCGAGGAGTCTTCAACAACAATAACGGGTCAAAATGAACATCAAACAACTGTTTCCCAAACAGCATCTTTTAGCAGGCAAACTACTTTGGATGTGGCAATGAATTCATCCCTGCCGTATAAAATTCCTTCCTCGCTACTGCAGGAGATATCGAGAAGAGACGCTACAACATTTTTAAATATTAATATTGATGCGGCAACTGGATGGCCTAATGCATTCGAACCTGTTGAAGTTATCTGTGTTCAATGTCAGTCTCCTTTATCAACAGCAAGACAGCACCCTGGTCAGAGCCGTGACGAAAGTGCTTACCTTTTGACGGAGCTTAACCCATTTAAGAGAGTTAAGCTGTTGGTTAAAATTTGCAGCAATCCACTCTGCAAGGCAATGCATCGACTCCCTACACTTGAAACAGGTAGGAATACACATCACAAAATTAGTAATATTCCAAACTTTCGTTGCGAGTTGTAAAATGCGGAAAATATAGCCTTGCGAAGTTTGCCGTTTTTCAGTCATTTTGTATTACAAACTGGAAATACATACTCCTGAGTATGTATATTACTAATTTTACTAATTTTGTGATGCTCTTTCAAGCTGTGATAAAATTTTTGTCTAGACTTGTTGAGATCAAAATTTTAGTCAAAAGGTGAAAGGTCCATTAAAGTGTAAAAATTCATGTCTGCTTTCCACTTATAGGCTTATTCAATATATGTGATAAAATCGTCATTTCTTTGGATATATTGCTGGAAATGAGACTATTTTTCAAACGCGGATATGCCATAACCAACATCATCGACGCCAAATTAGATTCTCTCAAATTGAAGGCACAACAGGTGAGTGACAGTGTACCTGTTAACTACACTGTATATGACCTATGGAGAACATAAATACAGTGACAGCGCTAGCATTGATACCAGCTCTTGACAAATAATAATAGTCTATTTAATACGTACTAGATAAAACATGAGCAGCCCATCTGTATCTGATATACAAACTCTCGCCTTCGCCCCTTCGGCTAGAGTTTGTATATCAGATACAGACCGGATGCGAATGTTTTATCGTACTTAAAAAATGACCCATTTTATGAGTTCATTCGCGAAGTAATTTTAAAAATAAACATTGTCTAAGCCGAGAAAATCAAAGCTGAAGTTTATGTAAATCAGGACAAATCCTTATCCGGTTTACAAACATTGATTAAACATTCATTTCTTTTGTATTTTCCTTGTGAATTCTTGAATTTTTTAAATATAAAGAATGATACAATGGTGCGCGGAAATATAAAATGTATTTCCACTATTGAATAGACCCATTGGATAATAACATGTATGCTACTTGGCCTGGGAGACTCACTTCAGTACAAGTATAAAGTCGTGGTACTTAATCAACTCACGATTAATGAGAGCGAGGCTCTCAGGCCAACACCACATGACGTTATTACCGAAAAGGTCTTTTGGATATCTATAATTGATGAGATTTCCACGCGAGCAACTATATATATTTCTGTATATTTTTATATAGTAAAATGTTTAATTCACACATGCATTTCTTGCTTAAAACACCAGCATTTTTATCTTTATAACTTTGCCTGTTCCAATTCTTTCTGAAAAATGCTACTATTTGCACGTGCATAATCATACATAATTGTTAATTTCAGGCGAATCTGCCATCTGAGAACCAGCTGCATTATTTGAAGAAATGCCTTTACAATGGCTATTATTGCTTTGAAGCGATAACCGAGAGGGACTTGAACACCGTGGGATTTGTGGAATTTGCCCCGAGGTTATTCTTGGTGATGGAAATGAAAAAAACTGTTGCACTAACAAACAGGTACAAATACAGCATACACTTAACCTATGTATAGAGCGTTAACTCGCTGGGGCTATACAAGCTAGTATGCACAATAATGATGATACATACATAGAAAACAAGTACAATTCGTTGAAAATTTTAACGAAATTGTTTGAAACATTTTGGACACTCCACGAAAGGCCGCCATTTTGAAAAGGATATATTGGGTTTTATACTTTTACTAGGCAGCTCATAATTATTCTATTTTGTGCCTATCAACGACGATTGGAGATCGGAGATCCACTATTGCCGATCCGTGAAAAATGCATGCCAAAACCTATATACAACCTGGGCACAGATGCCCCAGCGAGAAATGTTGACACTCAAATGTACAAAGTAACCATTCACTTTTCTAGATTGATTATGTCAAATCTGACAGTGCAACTCTTCCTTCCCTAGTTAAAACTACTGATGCATTTAAAAATACGTTAAAGAGAAGATGGTTGGAAAGGACGGTATTCACAAGATGCACGGAAAATATCCAGATACCAGTGTCTGTTGTACCACCAATTATGCCATCAGCTTTGATGGGTCCAATAGTACAAAACACTGAAGATCAAAAGAAAAGTGTGTACTTAAAGGAAAACACACTACCCGAAGGTATGTTGTAATGTCGAGCTAAATACGCCAATAGCCAACAGTTCCCTCATATGTTTTGACACTAATATATTACAAATTTAGTTGATATCAATGAACTGCACAGTGTGTAAAAAATGCCCCTTCCCTCCTTGTTGCCCACTGAACTGTATACACAGAAAGCTGACTCCAGCTCAAAGAGTGAGGCCAAAAATAGCGAAAATTGAAAGCATTTTTGGGCGTCAATTTCGGTCTCCTTCGGTCTTCAAAGGTTCCGACTCAACTTTCCCTTCTGTTTCTTTCTTTATTCTGTGTCAAACGTGCCCATTTTATTGATTCTGCAGGTCTGAAGAATATTTATACTTAAATTTGGAACATATTCTTTGAGTTATTTTGTCCTATGTATGTTTCCATGCATTCGAAGCAATTAGATCTGTCAAATTACTACAATAGGTCATGTTCATGGCTAATCTGAAAATTTCAGTCATGAAGCGTGATGAAGTTTGATTACCTTTTTTTGACACACCCTGTATTTTTTATCTATATTAATCTTAATTAAACTCGATATTGTTCATAGGCGACCTGTCGATGCTCCATGAGCTCATAAAAACAGGGAGAACTGACATTGATTCAATTGCCAAAATGTCCCATGAGGAAATTATTCAAGTTTGCAAGATATGCAAAATTACTTGCAGTGGGAAATCGAAGGTAATTCGATTTTCATTTTATATACCATGATCAAGGGTTTGGCATATTTCAATTTACTGTATATTATTTATATTACTTACTTTATTATTTACTTAAAAACTGGATGTCTTTAACAACTTTAGGTCCCTAGTTCAAAGTCCTTAAAAACGAAATGTTCGCCTTAATGTTCGCGAAATCTTCGCCATTGCAAATTTGCTTATACATGTAATTACAAAAATTAATCGAAATATGCGAAATCCCTGGCCATGATGTGGCCTAATTATAAAGTTCTACTATACACCTGGTATGCTCAAGATAAAGTTACATGTAATAAGATTTCACTTCACAAAAAATAACTTGCATTTTCACTTGTTTATTTTTTTCATTTTTTTTTACAGTCTCTGCTGATTTCAAACATAAATGCACTTTATTGGTCTATCCTTGTTGGTCTGTGCCCATGTCATGGGTATAATAAATCAAACGGGTGCACAGGTGGTTTTTATCATCTAGTTTGTCGCCATGGTGTAAGTAAAAATAGTTTTCTCTACTCCAGCCAATTGAAATGCCTAATGTTTGGCAAGGAAAAGATACTGTAGCAGTACTAAAAATGTCTGAGAGAAAGGAAATCGCTAGCTCAAGCCAAGGAGAAGCTTGTGTTGTGATTATTAAGAGGATCCATGGCAAATATCTTAACACCAGATATCCCGTATTATCCATGCCATATTATAACAAATACACAGTAATATTTCTACTTTACAAATCAAAGATCATAAGAAAGCAAAATCCTGAACAAGCAAATTTTTAGAAACTAGAAAGGATGTAACACTGTAAATAATGTTGCATTTTTATCTTCGACAGTGTACAGTTGCATCAAAGTTGTTAACACTAACAGAATCTGTTCGAGATGCAGCAGACCTCTACTTATCGCTGAAGTATCCGCCAACAACGTTCATCTGCGATTCTGCTTGTGGTCTAAGTAGGCATCTAGAACTACGAAACAAAGAGCTGGCACAGTTATTAAGGGGCGAGAATGGTGGCTGCTTTGAAAAACCTACTTTAGACAAACTACCAACTGACATACGTATCATATCTTTCATACCATAATTTTCAGTCTCCATTTGGTTTCATTGCTAGTTGCGAACAAATTTGCAAATTGGAATTTGTTCTGACTTGAACATCAACGTTACTCATTAGTTCATTTTGTTTATTTCTCTACGGAATCTCAACATTCCAGATATAGTTCCATGTGAGTTTCGAGTTTCCTCTGAAAGTGCAAAGCTTCAGCAAGACTTATCAATTGGAGAACATCCAGTTTCCAGATCAAAACGCCATTTTATTCTTGGTGATCGCTTCCATTCATCAACCAATCCACACAAGTCACCAGGGCCGTCCTCAGGAAATTCTTCAGGGGGGTGTAATTCAATTCAACTGACTGCTTCAAAAAAAATTTTCCCGGAACAAAATTTTTTTGTCGACCTCCCCCCCCCCGCCCGTCGCCAAAAAAATTTCGATCAGTGTAACATTTTAGGGGTCCAAAAATTTTTCCGGACATACAAAATTTTTCCGGAACATTCAAAAATTTTCCGTACATAGCAAATTTTCAACATTTTTTTACATTTTTCCAAAATTTTTACATTTTTCCTCAAAATTTTCCTAAAATTCCCACCACGTTCTTGCCCTTTGCGCCAAAAATATTTAACCCAAATAGCAGTTCTACCGACTGAATAGCAGTCCTACCGACTGAATAGCAGTCCTGCCGACTGAATACAATTAGTGGGGGGTGTCACACCCCCCCGTAGCTCCGGGCCTGCAAGTCACCACTTTGTGCATTTCACAACATTGACTTGTGTTGCCAGTCAAAGAGTCTGAAAATAATAGAAAAAATATTAAAAGGCTACGGAGCAATTGTCAGCAGTCATTTGAAGTCCATTACATGTACAACTTTCTAATGGACTTCTACCAAAATGAGGAAATTGTGCTACAACAACGGCATCGTTTGGAAGAGAGTATCCAACCTGATGAGTTTATTGAAAGAGACTCACTTGCACGCTTTGTAATTATATAGTATCAAATATATAGTATCAAACTTCACCTTTTTCCTAATTTTCAGATTTCAGTGGATGTACAGAATGTAAATAGCATCTCTTCTAACTTTTTTGCACCTCCCCTGAAAATTCATACACCTCCCTTACGATAAGTGTAATGATAATCTTATACAAAACTAGAACCTATGCAACCCACACATCACACAAGTCACCACAACCTTGTTCTCACAACATGTAATGCTAAAAAAATGGAGGGGATGAATGCCCCTCATAATCGGACTGGCCAAGACCATGGTCACAAAATGGAGATGGACTTCCGACTTCTGTGTAGTATTCTGTGACCATGGTGTGAGCATTTTGATGATGAATCATTGTGAATCATGGCATGGCAGTGGTTACAGGGTTTTTTGGCTGAGTCAACCTTCTGTGTGTATCTATTCCATGCCTTAACCCAGCGTATATTAACTCGCAATCCGAAACGGTTGCTCATATATCAAGAAAGTGCAAGAAAGAGCGCATTAGTTATAGGTATGTTAGGTACTGTTGGTGAATTACAACATTTTCGCGTGTTTATAATTAAACAGCTTAAAATTTATACATTTACAAAAGAATTTAAATTGCTGTCAAAAGTACACTGAACATTGAACAAGATATGGATATATTCATGTTTAAATAAAACCAAACAGGATATAAACAACTTTCCTATGCTTTTTATAGTTTACAACATTTACTTGATTTCTCAAGGTCTGGAACAGTCGCACTTAATAGACTTAATATTATAAGTGAATGTATTAAATAACAAGCCAGTTTTAAATAGGGCGTCTGTTTATTACAGCGTTTAGTTGGGGCACATAAACGGTCTTGGATTATGAAATATTCTACAGGAAAAACGATGGAGAAAAGAAGGATTAAAAGTATTAAGCGTTTGCTATGACGCGTTTCGCATTCACTTTAATATGAAAGACGAAAACGAATGATTCATCTAGTGCATATTATTAATACGCCATTAATAGAATTTCATATTCAAATCATATGTGTTTTATAATACTCACCGTACAAATATGCTAATGATTTTGCCAATAACATGAAAGTAGACTGTAATCTTCCTTTAGTGTCTTAGCTACGAGCAAAGGGAACACATATTAATTTAATATTATAAAAGGATAAAAAAACATCCATAAATCTGCGATGTATTCCCATTGTCAAACAAATATAGGAACGATGTTGTCAGATGATACTATTGAGGTCTTCTGATTGGAGGCCACCAAGACCACCACTAAATTGTCATCATCCAATCGCGTAAGACTTTCTAAGCGCTGCGACTCACCTGAACTCTTCCTATATAGTGAACGCCATTCCAGAATGTCATTCCTCCTAGTTTGTATTCTGAATTGGAAATCTGGAGACTGGTTGGAATTTCTTCAGGCCCATTCGCCAAGGAAAATTGGTAGCACCCATGGTAGTCCATTTCCAAACTGTCGAGTTTCAAACTGTCGAATACCTGCACAACGCAACGGTTCAGTCCATAAATCTCCAGGCAGAACACATATTGGATATCACCAATTCTTGTTGGTGCTGTTGGTGATGGTTGCTGGTGGAATGGTAAATCACATGGTTTTGGTGGTGGAGACAACCAGTGGTAGAAAAATGCTTCCAGGTATGTTTGATTGTCATTACATTCCACATTGCCATCAAGAATCTGTATGCTGCTTCAAATACATTCCTTTGCTTGTTGTGGACAGTCTTGTGAGGTACAGGTTGTTTTCAATACAGTTTTAGTAACTGGTGCCAAACAAGGTACAAACATGTCTTGCTCACAACCCCATTCATCTACAGTTGAAGATAACGCGAAGTTGAATCTTGGAAACTGTTGCAACCAGTGTACCTTTCCAGCACCATCAGCAGCAACGAAAGACTGGAACACATCGTTCAGACATGCAGCATATCTGTGATCAGCAGCTAATTTGGACAAGTTGAATAAAATTTCTGGTTGTAAACATGTCGTAACTGACGTGGGGATAGACTGCAAGCCTATGGATTCAATCACGATTATCGTATCGAAGGTAGAAACTTGGGCGACGATATATCGAAAATATAGCTATGGTTCAAGACTATCGTGATATTGCCTTCCATGTGTATATATGTATATTATAAAAATACTTTTATTTCCTTGAAAAGACAGCTATTTATTGACGCTGGGATAAAAAAACAAAGTTATTAATATGCAATAAACTAAGCCTACTGTAAGTGTCTACGGTACATGAGCCATCAGAAACACAGCAAACGATTCATTGGCAAACGTAGCTATTTTACTTTATTTTACGTATTTTTACATTTGCACAAATTTTCAAATATGAAATTTTGTCATTGAAAATTTGAAAACTATAAAACTAATGTTGTTCATGGATGGCTATAATCTTGTTTTTTGTACCAAACCATCTTGGAACTTTAATTAAAAGTGATTTGCAACTGAAACTCTGCAGTTATTTTTTCTAATGTATCGCAATAATATCGAATGTCGATACACACGATACGATCCACCTTAGCATAACACTTGTTTCACGTCAAGGAAATGCACAAAAACACTCTTGTTGTATAAAAATATAAGTACTTCTTGCATTAAAATTCATTATTTTACAAATTCATGTTTTTCTTGTATAGTGAATTTAAATTGCCAGCAACCAACGACGAGCAGTGCATCAGCCCCCTCGTCCTCACATATTCAAGTTAAAGATTCCACCAGTCATACATTCGAATATTTGAGGCATTACAAAGTTGTTTGCGAGGACTCAACAGATGTTGTTACAGACTCCTCTGATGACTTGTTCTTTTTGAATGGTGAGATTAGTTGTACTTTTGAGCTGGTTGTTCAAGGTTAGCTATAATCTAGCACATTCACTCAACAATCACGGCAGAAAATTAATCGCGGCACTGGATGATTCCAGCTATCGACTAATTTTTTTTATCTAGGCCTGAAGGAAGAAATCTATTACCACAGCTTAAAAGAGCATCCTTAAATTAGTAAAATTGCAAGTTTGGTTGCAAAATGTTCTAAACTATGAAAATTATACCCAAATATTGAATGTGAAATCAGCAAATTTTCAGGAATCTAGTATTACGTACGTGCGGGAAAAATAACCACTTTTGGCTCAAATCTTGACATAGGCACTTTAAGGATGCTCTTTTAAGCTAAATAATAGAAAACCTTATTGTCTGGACTACCAAGACTGTGAGAGAAACAAATGAATTCAAATCATTTATTAGCTTCGTAAGAAATTTAGATTTGCACTAGAACGCATAATTATTTGTGAATTTTACTTATATAGTACTGTAGATTAATTTATATAGTGTTTTAAAGTGCATGTAGTTGAAACTTGAATATATGAAGACATTTCTTTTCTGAATTGCAGTTGTTTTGTATTTTGTAAAGATTCTGAGTGGATTTTTCAGCATCTTCAATACTGTAAGTGAAATACATGAAAACAGTACTAAGTTTGTGCAACAATCCATTATCAATCTTCAGTCATTATTTCCTATACAATCTCCGTTTTGATTGTGTAATTGTGACATCACACCTGCCGATATAGCTTTTTGAATGTAAATATGACATCAATTCTGCAGAGAATAATTGGCAGCAAAACGAGCTTCTTGACATGCAGAACATATAAAGCCATGGCCCATGGCGAGATTTGTCTAAGTTACTAAAAAAAGAAGCGAAATACACTAAACGAGCTTACAACTAAGACAGAGAAAAGAGAGAAAAAATAAGTAAGTGTTGTAACACAACCTCGGCTTGATAACTATCAATATCACGTGAAAAATTATTAATCATTGTCGTAATAGATTTTTTGAAGTTTAGTAATTTGCGTGTCTGTGTTTCCATTTGACTTGCGTGTCCGCGTTTTCCACCTAACCGAGCTGAACAATGAAAGGCGATCCAGACAATTTAACATAGACAAGTTGATCTGAACGTAGCCGTCCAGTTATATTTAGTTCAAAGATATGCGCTCATTGCTACAAACCTATCTAAAGTTGCAAGATACCAATCTCGTCTAACAGCCCAACATCCCCTACAACGTCTGCTCATTGGATGATTTCACTGAGGACATGATTCACACTGCCACATATCTTCTTCCTCAGACTCAGAGCTATCACTGTTACCGAGTTCACCTTTGTCCACCCCCATATCATCCGTAGCTTCTGACCCCAGTGGTTCTAATGAAAACATACACAACAGTCAAGTCTCATTATCAGAGTGTTTTGTGTGTAACGTGTTACAAGTTTTATGTTGCTGGTACCTCAGTGTCGACGCTGATGTTGATATACACAATTTTTATAGACCTAAACAGGAACATTGAGAAAAAATGCAACTTGGGTTGACCTACGCCACTGCGATGCCGGTGCAGTGCTCTCACCACTTAAACTACCAAGTAGTTGCTGTGAGATAGGCATGAAGTTCTTGTATAAATATATCAGTGAAGATGCGGATAATGCTATCTCTAGAATTTGTTCTTTAAATCCATGATATGGCAATTGATGGATTAACTAAATACAACCTAGCGACCATCAGTTTAATTAATTACGTTAATTAAAAATATTGCACAGTACTAACATTAATTTAATATGTAAATAATTATATACTCGTATTTGTAAATGTATTGTAATTGTTGTTAACTGTAATGTAATGTATGACCATAATTTGTATTAATTGTATTTTTTAACTATTTAAATCTACCCCCCCCCCCCCTTGGAAATCAGCCTTCGCTGTAGGGGTTAGCGTAGTTAAATAAAGTTTTACCTACCTACCTAGTAAATGGTGGAGTAATTATCCGCAATTTAGCATCATGTGCTTCTCACTAAGTTTGCGTATTAGTTCGCCAGAGACAGAAAAACTATCCATATTACAAGATGCTAATTTAAAAACTCGACTACTTCACGGTAAACAACCAAAATAAAAACTATTAAATTAAACCAAGATGGCGCCCAGTGAGACATAGTAAGGTCATGTGCAAGCAAAGGGTACACAGCCTCGTACCCAGGCAGAAAACAGAAGCAGAAAAAAGAACCACAGTTATATATACATAGAGATCAGTTGTTGAGCGAGCGTGCGGGGGTACAGAAGAAAACGATGTGTGTTTCCTTATATATAACGCTTTAGTGAAAGCCACCAATTCTCACCACGTAGGAGAGAAAAGTAAAAATTCAAAGTTAAGTATATACCATCTTGTAAGCCATGCATTGCAACAAGCCTTTCTTCTTCACTGAATGATATCGGTTCATACTCGAGAGAAAAATCTATTTCTTCATTGGTGTCAACTTGTCTTACAACACACTCTTCATCCGTTTCTAAACAACATACAACTAAATGTAACGTCGCTTCTAGTAGACGGGTACATTCAGAATTAGATGATACAATACAATTTATTTGAAGTGGTCAAATACGCTTAGCTATAAATACAGCTAGATTACAGGCATACCCAAAGGTGGAAAAAGTATCGGAACCTGGGAACATAGTTCCCAGAATTTTTTTGGATCTCAACTTTCGCAGAAAATTTCACAGAATCATTTTTGTCCGTGACGCAAAATGTCTGTGACACAAAATGTCCGTAATCAAACTGTTACTCCCACATGTTGTGATTATACTTTAAGCTGGGCTGGCAATCTTTTGGGATTACAAGGCATTTATTAACAGTTTTGAATTCCAAGTAATCAGGTCCGAACAATTTGTCAATAGGTTTTTTGCATCCACTGCATATCATTCAAAGACCATTTCATTTTTTTGCCTTACAACCACAGCCATGGAAGTAGAATTCCTTTTCTGAAACAAAACATGAATTAGTTTGTTTGAAATGGTGCACAAATCATTTATAATAATTAAGTTACATATGGACAGGCTTGGGTATGTTATGAATTAACTACCTATAAAAGATAAAAATTCGACTCTTCAAGCGAAGGCTATGTGTTGCAGTATTTAATGTGTCAGGAGTATAGCCATAAGTCAAATACTGTATGATTACTCAGCTTGAGAAAATTTAGTTTGTACAGTTAGTGTTTCTCAAGACTTGAAATAAATTCGTACAGAATAAGTTGCATTTGTGTAGTAAGGTTGTTGGAATACATAAGCATCATGCTTACCTGCTTGAAAGCACTCCAATGCCTTTTTCAATGACAGTCGAAGAAACAACAGTTTATCAACGTAAACATGGGTTAAAATCTGTTTAACTACAAGAAAATACACAAAATAATGCTAATTATAATGAAGTTCCATGCAACAAATGAATAGTACAATAAATAGTATAACCAATTTTTATAGTACAGTAGAGTAGAGTAGAGTAGTGAATCCTGACTAAGGTTGGGCGGTATTAAAATTTCAATACCGGTTGTACAAAAGACTTAACTACAAAACGGGTACTTAAAAAGTAGTTAACTCTTAAATACGACATCCCAATTGGTCAACTTTCACACTGACTATAGTTAACTACTTTTTTATACAACCGGCCCCTGTAATGTACTGTACGATATTAAAAAAAACCGTTTTGTATCAGTATACGCTGTTACAGTTTTTTAAGCAAATGTGCAATCTACAGTAAATACAGCTAGTTTACATCCAATGATCCAAAATTCTAGGAAAATGGAAAAAAGTTATCACGCGTTTGTTTTGTTAAATGATTATATGGTGTTTGGTTGATTCTAAAGTGTTCTTTAGCTGTTGCAGTGGTGAAGTTCAGTTAATTAATTTGCTATTTCCTGGATTGTTTTACAAACAGATAACGATATTATTATTAGACACATTCATACTCGTACGGTGTGTATGGCTAGAATCAGTCAGCAATAGAAAATATGGAGTTCACATCGAAAATCAACCAAGATGGCGTTGATTGCAAACTACCAATACTAGGAATACCGGTATACCACCTAACTTTAATCCTGAGTGGGTTTGAGAGCAAACATCAATAATTATAATGTACAGCTATATCTAATCCCTCATCCTATAAGCCTTTTCACAAACCTGATGAATCTTTTGCCTGGATGTTGTGGTTGGTGGCCTGCTGGTACAATCTTCGATCGACCTTGTGCGAACTTTCAAATCCTTGATTACTGAATTCCCTCATGGACCCAAATGTTCTCATCAACATTGAAGCATGTTCAATTATCAAATGCCCATAATCGCCAGTGCCAAGTAACGGACCAAAGGTGTGGTGGAGGTGGAAGCCCCATTCTTTACACTATGAACAAATTTTAAGATTCATCAATTAGGACAAGATTGACTGTGATGATAAGTGTGGGATTGAATATTAATGCTTAGCATACCGTGCGTAAAAGAGCAATATAAATTTGTAAAATATTTATTAGTTAACGTTTCGGTCTGAATATGTCTTAGAAAACGTTAACTAATAATTTTTTTAAAAGATAATTTGTTATGGCTCTTACGCACATTATGCTAGGCATTAATTTTCATAATAAGATTACGATTCCTGCCTGGTTCATACCTCGCAACTATTTAACAATTAGATTACTCTCTCTCAATTTCTGTGAGGTGATAGTTGATGAGGGCAAAGCCCGAATCAACTATCACCTCACAGAAATTGAGAGCGAGTAATCTAATTGTTTTAGTAGAATCAGAGATTAAACATAAAATATTCCACAAAATAATTCAATAAAAGCCTTTGTTTTTAAAAAATGGGCCAGGAAAATGATTGTTTTCCTACTCGCTATCTATTGAGGAATAGATAGCGAGTAGAGTAGCCAATCAAATTACAGCATTTGCAATAGTATACTGGTATGATTCTACTAAATTTTAATATGTTCCCATAGTACAAACCTTTAGATCAAATACATCAATTTCATCAGCTCCCTCCTCTTCAAAAATGGTCTCTCGGACTATCATCGCAATGTTCCTCCACATGGTCGCTACCTATAGCAAGTTGTACAGTATTTGAGATTAGGCAAAAACTGTTTGATTTCTTTTGGAATGGGTCACGACTTTCTCCTTAAAAACCAGCATTTCTTGGATTACATTCAATAATAATATTATTATTATTATTATTAAGCACTATACAGATACACTCCAGTAGCCCAACAAGAATCTTCATTTGAATTAGTCTTACCATTCTGAATAGCCCCTTTTGAATCTGAGCTGCAAAAATCTGAATACTTTCATCCAGCATTCCATCCATAACGGTTAGATTTTCTTCAATTCTACTGCTCAAGTCCTCCCAATATTTTAATCTTTCATGAACATGGAGTTCAACCTTGCCTAAGATGCAAATATTCCAATTTTAAATGTAAAGACACACAATACTGTAGGCACAATCTTTGTTTAAATAATTTCTGTCATTTTCAATGCTATGCAAGGGACAGAGCATCGAAAATGATGTTTGAAGTTGAAAATACTTACTTCCAGGCATGATGGTTGTAGTTTCTTGATGGACACCATGATCTCATACGAATGTCTTTTCCAGGCAGGTTTGCTTACCATATTGGAGTGAAACCACACAACATAACACAACACAACTTTGTGATAGAGGAACCCCGGTCCAAACAGAAAAGGGACCTCCTATTTAGGAAAGACAGCCGTTAATTAAGCGTCCACAGCCACTATTACAGTGAACGTCATAAACTACAGTATTATCTACATATATGCTTTTTGATTTATGAAAAACGAGCATTTATTTCAACAAGAAATGCAGTATGACAATACGACATTTAAGCACCAGGGCCTCTTCTGGCCAGGGGGTACCCACACTGTTGGAACACTTTGGTGTGTGAGATTCTTACTGAGGTTTAATCAATTTGTTTGACATTGCAGTTTTTGCCAGTTAGAGCCCGTAGGAGTTACGCCAATTTTAGTGACTTTCTACACAACTAAAATTTTTGGCATTATACCTTCTTTATCTCCTCGCAAAATCCTACTTTTTTAAGAAGGTAATCTTCCGCCGCAGGAATTGTAATATATTTCTCGAGCTTATCAATTAAAAGAGCTGAATCCACAATGTCCTCTATGTTGGCGAGAAACGATCATTCAGTGGGGCCTGAAAGCCAAGAACAGACAATTTACTGCAAAATTACTAAACGTAACGGATAATGTATTACAATATTGACAATAATGAGACTGTGTCGCATCATTAGCATTTCTTGTCATCTTTTACAATATTGGGAGAACATGATTTGTTCACATAACTCCAAATGTGGAGTAAAATTAGGTTCAAAATAACTCCACCGGAATTAAATTAACGGTGATGGGTTTGCTTTGTATTAATCACTTACCTGAGATAGAAGCGACCTTTATGTGGTTCTTCGTGACTTCTAAATTTTTATTCCTGCCATCTTTGATCCTGATGTAGTCCTTCTTTATGGATCTTGGTCCCAACTCAGCCAGCTTCTTATTTAGATTTTTTTAACGTCCCTATTTTGTATGCATATAAACCCAGTGACCCAAGGATTTGTTCGGTATTTCGCAGTGTAAAGCACACAAATTTACGGAATTCATGTCTTCATTCAACAGCAGTGTGAGATCATCACGAATTCCTTTCCAGCTATAAAAATTAAATACAAGACAGAATTCAAAACGAAAATTATTCAGTTTTCGTGCTGTCTGATGATATATTTCTCAGATGAATTGTGAACCTTTTAAACTGTGTGTTTCCAAAAATTTACTTCTTCTGTTTTCTTAAAAAACATGTTAATTAATTAAACATGGTGTCTTACTGTCCAATATTTCCTTTGCTGTTAGCAAAACAGCCAATGCAAGTTGAAGAACACCATGATTATTTATTTTACTTTCGATCCATAAGCCTGGAAATTTACAACACATAATTAATTAACCCAGCATTAGTATACTATACAGGTTTACACTAAATATTGATTTGACGGGGTCGGTAGATGAAATGCTAGTTTGCAGACTTGGGACCACTGCAGAGCGGGATATGAATGTAAACCCAATATATTTCCAGACCGGGCTGAATTTTAAACAACTTTAATTATAAAAAAGGGTAGACAAGATCCGATGTGGATTACGCTTTCAATAACACGACTAAGTGTTAAAAATTTTTTGTACCGATCTCATATAACTATGCTGGCAATTACGATTCACATCCGATATACAACTTAATTCGTTCCGGTGTCCCAGGAAATTCATGGAGGGGAGATTTCCTGCGACACCGGCCTCGTCAACTTACAATACTTACTTTAATAGCAGTACAAAATATGCAAAATTCAACAGCCAATACTCTTCCTCCAAGAACAAATTTCTTACTCGATGAACCTTGGGTTTTGCCATTTTTCTTGACGACAATGAATAAAATGGCTTTGTAGTCTAGTGTAACTATAAAACATTTAATTTGTGCAGATAATTACATATTGCATAAAAAATATTTGTGATATGCAAAAAAAGTGAACCTGTAAAATTGATTTTGTATCCTCGACCATCCACTACCATTCCATTCGTCTTAATGTCTCTTTGGCAACTGTGATATCTTTAATCATGCTGTTGATGTTGTGCCTTAATAATAATTATTTTATTTTATTTGTGCAAGTTTCTATTACTGTGAGGCTGTAGATCTGGTGGTCAGATTCTATGAAGCAAAGAATGGTACATACACACCTATTGTAAGAATCTAAAGTAGAAATAACACTAGTTGTCCTTAGTTATTTTCCTTGATAAGCGTATTAGACAGCGACTTACGTATTTTCACCACAATTTGTTATTGCAAGAGTAGTCGTTATATATATACAATAAAAAAACAAAGGGGGTGTGGGAACCAGAAAAAATTAACTGGAATTAGTATTACGCGAGAGTGTCCAAGAGGGCGTTGGCCATGGGCGTGGTGGGCTGTACGGACGGGGGGAGTTTTAGTGGTCATGTGACTTCAGGAATGTTGTGCTCTCGCTCGTTCTGGGGTGTGTGGGATTTTTTGTTTTTGGGGGGGTCGCGCCGCGCTCGTTCTTACGAGAACGTTTTGGGGGCTGGGGCGAGATGTTACTCCAAAGCCTCGGTCGACCGAAGTGATTTGAGATTTGAAGTTTGCGCTCTTTTATGCTCTCGCGCCCGCTTTCGGGGCGTTCGCGCGGGTTATATTAATTTAGTCCGGATAACAATCTCCGGGGGTGGAGCTTCTGTCAATCATTGTGTTGTGTTAAATAGTTAAAAGAATAATACCGGTTAATAATTTAGTTTTTGCTTGATAGTGCTATGGAGTGCACGTGTATTTGCGAGTATAGTGATGATTGTACGTGTAGTTGTAAGTGTACTTTTTGCGAAATAATTCGTGAAATAAATGTGAAAATAGAGGCGCAAAGACAACGAGACAAGAAAATAAAAGTGTCACGGTTTTGCGAGTGTTTTGGACAGGGTTGGTGTTATTGGTGTTAAGACTTTATTGTTTTGTGTGTACTGTGTGTGATTGTTATTTTAAAATAATTACACACAGTACACATCGGATATATAAAGTTACTGTGCGCGTGCGCAATGTGGAGAAGACCGTAATAATTGTGCAAGATAAGTAAAACGTGGATATATACCAAGATGAAGCGATCATATAGTGTGGACGCGTGTGTGTTGAGCGTATTTCGACATCTATTGTGGCGGAATGGCAACGCGTTGGGGAATAAAAGTCCCAAGTCAAAGTGAGTTCGATTCTCACCCTAAGATGGTTGGTATTCTCACTATACATGCTCCACTTCTTTTTCTTCTTTTCTTCTTTTGGATTTTACCCGTTAAACAATGTATGACATGAGACTGTATCCCGAAAAAAATTTGGAATACAGTCTCATGCAATATACTGTTCGGGTAGATTTTTTTACTTCAGATATCTTTTCTTCTTTTGGATTTTACCCGTTAAACAATGTATGACATGAGACTGTATTCCGAAAAAAATTTGGAATACAGTCTCATGCAATATACTGTTCGGGTAGATTTTTTTACTTCGGATGTGATAGTTATTTTTTCTTCTTTGAAAGAATAGTAAATAAAAGCTGCGGATTGGAATGGGAGTGAAAAATCTCTTCCATTCCAATCCCCAAATTTATTGTACTAAAATTCATTTTCTTCATTATTTAATTACTACAATTTGATAATTGCTTATTTTTAATTTTGCTATCGGTAATGTTTCGTCGAAGGCAATCCATGAAAAGCCCTCCTTTTGTACTTTTTCTTTTAGTAGTGGGTAAACTTTTAGACATGCATCTAGACCAAATAAGCTTACTAAGCGTACAAGTTTGTAATAACCACCATAAATGTATACCCCCAACATACGATAAATTAAAGTATTTTTTTTGTCTCTAAGTTTAGCGGCTGTTATTTCAGCTATAGGTATTAAGGGTGCTGCTACATATTCGGAAAGATTTTCGTGACCACACGGAAAAGGTGTTCCCGTTTTTATTGTCAAAGTATTAAATTGTTCGTAGAAAGCATTCACCATGATTTCAGTTGCTTTAGTATTCCATAGTAAAGCATCGTAAATACTTTGAGGATGCATATTTATAGGGGTTGAAAATTCAATCATCTGTATTCCCAGTTTTTCACTTATTGTATCCATTACATTATCTTTTTGTTCTACTGAACGAACGACGGCGTGTCTTTCGTTGATGTCCATAAGTTCCGACAATCTTCGACGATCAAAAACATTGTAATAAAGTTCGGTAACTAGCGCGAGTCTAAGTATTTTTTGACAATTTTCGATTTCGTCTTCTATAGCATGAATTTTTTTATCGGGGCCCACATCGTTTGGATGAAGTCTTGTAGGAGAATCTCCTAAATATTCAAGTATTTGTAAATAGCTTTCGTGATCCATTTTAATATTTTATTTACGTGCATCGAGGATTTTTATAGGGTTTGGATCTACGTTGTGGTCCGACCTTTTTAACACCCACGCATTTGAACTTGAAAAATTGTTTAAAAAATACATATAAAATAGCAATAAATCTAGTTTTTTTGAGCTTTATTTAAGAGTCGCGTTTTTGCGTATTCAGGGCTATAGTGATCATGGCGTCTTTAGCAAAATGGGAAGATTGTGTTTTACAGTACTTGGAGGGGAAAACTATTAGTTTTAAAAAAGATAATGATACGGATGATACAGTGGAGAAGATCGATATCGGCGACATAGAGAGATCATTGATCAAGAGTGGTTTGATGCCCGACTTTGTGCAGGGTAATGATCATGTGTATCATATTTTGATGCACCGTATTCAAATAGAGGTTGTAAAAAATTTAAAAGTTCCACCACAACCCCCCACAATATTACCCAGTGGCGCTACAGCGTTTGTGAAGCATTGCACTTGTCTCGAGATGTTAACGTCAAGTATTTGGGGTAAAATACACAAATCGTTGGAGCAACTTGAAAAAGATACCGGGGTGAGCTTGTCAAATTATCATGTATTGCAGAAGACTAAGAAAAAAAAAGAATCATTAAAACGAGCACACGAGCAACAACAGCAGGAGATGGTGAAGAGATTAAAGGGTGAAGGGTTGTTTTGTAATAAAGTTAAAAAATCCACAGTCGACAAAGTGCATAAAATTTTATTTTAAAGGTAATTCATCTGAATCCCAATGTTTTAAATTATGATATTCTTTAATAGCTGCTTGTAACTCATGCTTTGCTGATCTAAATATATGTCGTTTATTAATAAGTAAATATAAATAGAATGATCTTGGTAGTTCGCAAAGTCGTATAAATTGTTCCTTTTTAGGATCCTCTTCCACGGCGTATAATTTTTCTATCAATTCTTCGCGATCAGTTAGCGGATAGATTTCAAGAATTTTGTTGGCTCGTTGTTCGACACGATATTTTTTCTGTACTTGTAAGATACGCGTCATTTCGTCTTCATGATAGGTTTCACGGTATTCTTTTATTGCGTCTTTGAGATTATTATGTTGACTTGTAAATTTTCTATTTTCGTTTATGTGCAAGTATTCAAACATTGCTGGATCGCAACACATAACACGACCCGTGTGCACGTATTCTTGACTTGTGGGATTTTGTTGAATTTTTTCTTTTTTTTCTTTGTATTCTTGTTCTTGTTCATTTTTCATGGTACGCCACATGTATACATGGCACTCGGCACAATATCTTAGGTTATGATGCTCGCGAGGGTCGTGGATTGTACTGTGTATGCAATGTTGACATTGTTTACTAATACAATTTTTTTGACTTATTTCTTTTAACAAACGTTGTTCTTGAACAGTCATTCGTGCATTTTGATCAATGTGTTGATTCATTGTGTTTTAATTTTATGTTACTAAAATATGGGTTTATATAGATCATGTTTGACAATAAAAAATATCGCAAGGTTTACGTTGAAACATTCCGTACATAACTGAATTACCATATATGGGTATACGAAAAAAAAAATGCGCGTGTATGTGTATGTGTTGTGGTCTATATTTGTTCAGATTTGTAAAAATGGACATTAAATGTAAAACAACAGAAAATGGTTTTGAGTTTTCGATCGAGATATTATTGGAAGAAGTGGTTATTGTATGTGTATTTGTATGGGCTATTTGGATTCTAAAATGAACGTTTTGTGTTTAGAATTTGCCATCAAGGAGAAAGTGGTTCGAGTAATTAATACAACGCAAGTGAAATTCGAAGAGGCCCTGTACATAGCGACTCCTCCTAGTTTGTCGACGTTACCGTTTAAAGATAACGTATTAAGTGTGCCGAAGTACGTACGTGTCATGTGGAATGTACTGAGTGATGAAAAGACTAGCGTTCTAGTGTATCTGGGGAATTTTTTAGATAAATTAATAGTTCATGGTTATCGGGGTGATTATACATTTCATTATACATTAAATACGAAACGACAGCGTGAGGGATTAGAGAACGAAAATGCAAAGCGACGAAGAGAAGAGAAAACATTTTGAAATAATTTTAGCGTACATTACACAACATGAATTGTCTAAATTATATACGGGTAAAATTAGTAGATATATATGGATGACTGTGGGGTATCGAATAATGCGAACATTCACATATGATTATGCAAAGATTTTATTTTTAAAATATTATAATTATGATAGTTTTTGTATTTTTACTGATATTGAAATAATTTTAGATAGTACATATCAATTATATGATAATTATTATAATTATGGTAAATTAGAGTTTTCTTTGTATTGTTTTGTTGATGAATTCTTAGCATATTAAATTACTCTTTATCGTCGAGTACAAAAAATTTGACGCTGGGGTCTGTGCTGTGTTCCAGATCATGATCAAACTCTTCGTTGGTTATCTCTGTAATACGTTTATTCACATCTAGATTCGTATCCTGAAAAGATATATAAAAAAATGGCTGATTTTAATTTAGATCGAGAGTCTATGCATTTTAATAAGGCTCTTATTAAGTTAGCACAGGGTTTAAGCAAAAGTCCTATTGTACATCACGAATATCGTCGCGATGTTTTTGATTGGTATTATAATGATTATCTATATACAAATATAAGATACGTGGCAGTGATTTACGATGAAATAATTGACCCTCAATGGTATCGTCGTTACACATATTTTTGCATAAGTCGTGGACCCGTAATAATGTCGAGACAATATTTTAGTTTACGTTTTTGGCAAAGTTATTTTATTAATTTTATTACGATACAACCATTAATACCTTTTGATGACGAGGCAACTAGTCGAGCGATTGAAGACATATTAAAACAAGATGATTCGCAATGTTCTATCATGGATGTTGTGCGTAAAATTTTATGTCAAACACAAGTATTGATAACACCCATATTTGTGGCATTATCACGTCATTCACGCAGGGAAGCGATTAGACTTCATATGGCTGTATAATGGACGCGTTAGAACGTTTTGATTATGCTCTTATAGAATTATCGCGTACAATGATCGGGTATGTATTTTACCAGCGTCCACAGATGTTTGAATGGTATTACGACGATTTTCTGTACACACAGATAAGGTATATAGCAGTAATACACGACCGTATACGTTTTCCTAAATGGTTACATGACTACGAGTTTTGGACAATAAGTCGTGGACCTAAGATACAAGTGCGTCGTTTTTTTCAATTGCGTTTTTGGTTAGAAAGTTGGTTAACATTTACGCAGCAAGATAGTGAACGTATTTTTGACGGTGATGAACAATATGAAATCGAAGAAATTCTGAAACAGGACGATTGTAGCTTGACTGTTGTGGAGATGATACGTTATATTTTACACAAAACACACGTTTTAATCTCTCCACAATTTGTAACATTATCAAGACGAGCAAAAGCTTCTAAAGTAAAAGCGCTATCATTTACAAATATAATTTCGGGATCTACAGAAGCAGTTCAAGCGGGTATGTTGGGAGGAGTAGTGGATGAACATTGAGACAACAAAAAAGATACGTACCGTTGTAATTTTAATATTGTTATTTGGATTTATAATACCCATTTCAACGGGTTCGTGGACACAAGATGTAAAGAAAATTAAATATCCTCGAGGTAGTGTAGATTGATATGCACGAGGAACGGCCATAATTTTACATGGGTTTTTTCCACGAACACGTAGATAGATGAATGTTAATTTTTGATCAAATATTTTTAAATCGGTGCAGTATGTTGCAGCTACAGCCATTTTATACAACATTGTGAAAGATACATTTGCATGCACAAGCTTTATATAGACAATTTTTTTTTGAGCGAAAGTGTAGAATATTTTTATATTAAACAATTTTTAATATGATGTTGCCAATGTTGTTGAAGATTACAACTGTGAAAATCATCCGTATTACATATTTTACAATCGCTTGTAGTATATAAAACTAATACTTTTTCTTTATTTTGTTCTTTATATTCTTTTTGTTCTTGATCATTTAATGTAATTATATAGGGTACTACTTCTTGATTAATATTGCATCGCGTACAAAATAGATTACGATGCGTTCTAAGATAAATTTCTTGCACACATAGTCGTGAAAGTTTATTCATATTTTCATGGGTTTATTATTTGATAGTTTTAAAAGTTCAATGTCATTGTTTCCCTTTGTTTGAAATAATTCTTCGAATGTAATTTCTTGTATAAGATCATAGATCCAACGTCGTTTGTTAGCATTGATCTAAAAAAAGATAAGAGAATTTAATATTTTGTGGTTGTAAAGGGAAAAAATATTTTCTATTGCTTTTACCGTTTGAACGCAGATAATTTTTCCAGGGTTGAATTTCAGTACCCTAATTGGGTGTGTAATACTGCATACAGTAAAACGTATCATTGGTTTTGAATAATATGAAACATTGTCTTTCATAGAGGGTACCAGTACAATATCATAGGTATTACTTGTGTCGTTATAATAATATAAATATTTTTTTCCATTGAAAACATTTACGTGTTTGTGCTCCTCCATTTTGTTGCTGTAAAAATGGGTTAGTGAATTATATAAGGTTTGTGTATTATACATTTGTATAGAAAATAAGTCGATTACCATATATGGACAGTAGATTTACCTTTTTTAATGTGATGAGATTACTTTAAAAATTAGTCGGTTATTCCCCAAACATTTAGCTTTTGCATAATCTTCAAAATAAATTTCTTTTGTGATTTTTTCCATGAATCCATAGACGTTGCCTCGTATAGTTATTTTAATATAACCATTTTTTTCAAGAACACCCATGGATTTAAAATCTACATCAGTGTATTCCGCAAAAACGAGGTCAATTTTATGTTGCATACTTGCATGATGAATTGAGTGTGGACCTCCTGCAAAGATGGGTATATTACAATTGCTGATATTTTGAAGATAAATAGCATCACACGTTGAGCTGTCGAAATTCATGATCTCTATTCTCGCGAGAGAGTATTTAAGAAGTGAGTGATTTGCGTATTTTCTGTTACTTTATATAGTATTCTGATGAGTAAATATATCCAAATAATTTATATAGTGATTTTGATATCATTTGTATATATTATTTTTTTAAGTGTGTTGTATAAATTTTTGTTGAATGGCAACTGGGAGTGTACCACCTACTCGAACATATGACGAAAAAGATGAAGATTGGTCTACACAAGCTGTGCATGGTGATATAACACCCCCTGAAAATTGGACGGGTAGTTGTGAAGATCAAGTGGAATTGTTTATGGAAATTTTGGCATATATTATCGATCGTGAAATTTGCAAAGACACTCGAGGTTGTCGTAGTCTGTCCTATTATAAGAAAGTGGTTCCAGAGTATATACAGTTGGGTTATTATACTCATGCGTGTCGTGAATTTCACGATTTCTTAAATCTTTGGGGCATTGAATATAAAGCTGAAACGGGTATAGACGAACTCAAGTCAAAACACGATCCTAATTTACCCTCACGATTGTATTGTTGTCGTATATTGAGTATACGTCCCGACGGCATAGTAAAGAAGTATAGTGAAATATACGAAGAGTTAGAAAGAAAAACATGGGAACTTTAACTCCCGATGTTTTTTTTCATACAGTTGCGGGTTTATATATGAAACAAAAACTGCACTTAAATGATAATGTAGATTTTGAGACATGGCAAAGTGTGGTACCTTCAAAATTGTTGGAACATTGGCCCGCGATACTTGAACTTTTTCATATGTTAAATGTGCTAACCGATGAACAGTACGGTTATGATTTAAAGGACGAGGGGGACGATTTAGCACATACTAGTTCGGGTATATATGCTATATTAATGCAGCATGTAGAATATTTTTCACAAGAAGCTTTTGAACATTTAGAAGATATAATAACTCAGATAGTTTTAGAATATAATATACTTGAAATAATAAGTAATTTTCATTTGTAAAATTTTATGTACAAGATTCTCTAGATGCAAATACATGTTCGTCTTGATTATCATTACATATTTTTAAAACTATTTGTTTTTGAGTTTTTCTTTTCGCATGTTCAATCGTAATTTTTTGACCATCCATTTCTGTAATTAAACTTGCAACAGCATCTCGATATTCCTTTGATGAAAATATATTTTTAAATGTTTGACGTATAGTTTCTGGGGGTACATAATTATTGCGCGTGTCGAAGAATAGGTGCGGACATTCCGATCGGCATCCCGATTGACAGTCTTTCCATGCAGCCTTGCATTTTTCGTTCTGGCATGGGGATGGGGGATATATTTCTTCTTCTTCTTTCTCGATCGTATTGTCTTCGTTCTCGTTCTTTTCGTCTCCTTTGTTCTCGTTCTTTTCGTTTTGCTTGTATTCGTTCTCGACTGTTTCTTGTTGCTCGTTCTTTTTCTTTTCTAAAAAATCATTTTCCATTTTAATACGTAATGTTTCAAGGGCACGTGCCCATTCAGGCGAATCAAACGTATTCTCAAGTCTTTGATCTAGAAGTTTTAAAGAATAACTCGTTTGTTCATCGTACCTTCGTAAATAAGTATTTACACCTGATAGCAAGGGGTATTGGGATCGTACAAGATCATATTTTACACGAGGTACTCCCATACATTTAGGTTTTTGAAGTTGCCAAGCTCCAGGGGGAATCGCTGTTTTTGCGCACGATTCGGACACATCGTTCGTCTCCGCACGTACATTGTTCTGGGACGACTCGCATGTGGGTGTAACAGTAGTATTTTGATTCATGGGTGGTGTCCTCTTGTACACTTTTCGCGGGAACAAATTTAATGGGGTTTATTTTGTATGGTGCTGCTCGTCGTCTTTTTGCGGGTTTTTTTACGGGTAAACTTGATGCGGGTGGTGGGGGTGGTGGTGCAGCTTCTTGTTCACGTTCTGCCTCGGCTTCCTCTGTTTTTTTGACTATTGTAAAATATAACATGCGGCTAATACTAGCGGCCATACATTTGTTACAACCTTTCGTATTACAAGGATTTACGGGTAAAGGAGCTTCTGTTCTGCACTCGCTCATCTTGACGTTAAAGATTTCATTGAAACATGGGGTCTAAATATTATGCGGGGTTGGCTACCGATAGTAAGTTTTAGAAATAAAAAAAAGTATTATTTGATATTAAATCGAGTTGTAAAAAAGTATATATTTTTTACATTTAGTTGGTGAAATGTTTGGAAAATCGTGTACATTAAAAAAAGCGCTGCCTTGCGCTTGTAGTAGTTGTGAAAAACGATGTTGGGAATCGAAAGGTTGGGTTTGTCGTGTGATAGAATGTTTTTGTGAGGAACGTGTAGAAGTTTGCGTGGAACGTGTATCGGAGGAATCAAACGAGTATCATGTGGATTACGTGTGTGCAGATCAAGCTTGTGGTTTTAAAATAAACGCATTTGATTCGAATTTTTCAATATACACGAAAGTTGTGGAAAATGTAAAGGATTATATGTTTTTTCACGAACGTAATATGTGCACGTGTAAACGACTCGTTCGTGCAGTAGTGGAACGTGTAACCATAGGTTGTGGTGTAACAGACCCCACGAAAGAAAAATCAATTGATTTAAATAACGACTATCAATTGCTGTTTGTTTGTAATGCGAAAAAATGTAGTTATCGTCAATCTCTACCCCAAATTTTACGAGCTCGAGGTGAAAAAATAAGATGTCTTTGTGGAGGGGAAACTCGTTACGATGCAGAGAAAAAAACATTTTCGTGTGATCGTCAAACAAAGTGTGGCGTTTATTTTCACGAAATGGATTCATTAACGTACATACATACTGAACAGGCAAAAAATGGGTTGGAAGATTCTGCATGGGTAACTATCAGACGTCGTGCGCCTGATATATGTGGCAAACAGGGTATATTAAAATATCGTATCGATGACAATTTGCATGGTGAACTATTGTATGAATGTAGTATAAATAATACATGTAGAAAAACTGTACGCGATATTTATGTACCAATGATGTATTAAATTTTTTAAAAGTTTTTACAAAATGTTTTTTTATCTATTTTTTTTATCCCGTCCCAAATACAACATCTCCCCATTTTTTTGACACAAATCCTCCTCGTTGTTTTAGGGCGCGCCGTCCTCCACGTTGCCCCATTCCCAACATACCCAATAGTAAGGGTAAAAAACCACCATTTTGTTTTTTTCCATACCCGCGTTGACGCCAAATCGTGCCTGGGCTAAGTCCGAGTGAACGTTGTCTTGACCATTCTCCTTGCACGATACCGCCTACGCAAGATAATAGTTTAGCGTATTTTTCCGACCCTTTGAACCCAAGACATTCTTTTACGTATTCGACCACCTGTTTGATTATAGGGGTCACTGAATCCATAGTTTATGGAATCGGTTAAAAACCCACCTTTTTGCTTGTTTTTTTTGTTTTTTGAACGTTGATACTTTTTGCCCTTAAAATTACCACCATTTTGTTTACCTCGACGTTGTTTAACCATGGCTACGCGACAGGGGAATGTGTTACCGGTTAAAAAAATAAATTATATATATGTTAACATATACGATGCACTGTTTGATAAATTCTATCGTGTAAAATGTTTATGTGGTTATCATTTTGAAATTCAAATTGCTGTCACGTCATTGACCGTACCGTACGAGAAAGATTCAACATTATTTCACAAGAACGAGGATAACTCTAGTTTTTTACTTACGTGAGGTGTCGAAAAGAAACTTATGATATATTTGGATTCAGATACACATGTGAGAACAACTTTTCCGTGCTGGCAGTGTCGTGAAACAATCTATTTACATGTTGTGCGTAAATGTTAGTTTTATTCGAGGAGCATTTGTACAACGACTGTGTCGTGTTTGAATCTTATTGTGGTTCGATTGATTCAAAGGGCTCGTTTGTATTTTCAGTACTTTATCGTGGATTCGTATTCAACGCTCATGTTTATTTTGATAGTTTTCTGACACATGTAGATTTACATCGTATATCGGGAAGCGATACGTACACGGACGCGTTGGGGGATTACGTGGACACTGTTGTCGATGCTTTTTGGCTATATTGTTATCACGAAGTAGACGTACGAGATATATTTGATTCCGAAGAGACAATTCGACGAAAATTATTTTCAAAACATCGCATTTATTTAAGTGATATGCGAATTTGGCGTGGATTTTTCTCTACGGCTCGTCGCAATGCAGGCGCTATTGGATCAGAAGTTAGTCATAGTTCCCCATAATAGACAAACAGTCTTAATCAACGAGGAAAAAATTATTACTCTTACTAAATATTTAGATTTACACTGTTATAAGAGTATTACAGACTATATGTATTTTTTTTGTTTTATACTATCTGATAAATTTGAAACTTTAACATATAGAAACAGTAATTATTTTAAATGTTTTATAGAACATTTAGACGATAAACGTGTGGTGATTCTCGAACATAATGCACCTGATTTTGCAGAAACGTTTGTAGATTTATGTAATAATAATACATTTGTGAATGTACGTAGTGCTATGTGTAATATTTACGGTATATATCTTTTAAAGGATTATTATTTCCTATTTACACAGACGCTAACTTTTATACGGCTATTAAATAAACATGAAGAACTACCATTGACAATAGTACGTAGTCGTAATCGTGAGGCATTTGCTATAAGATTAGTATAATGACTGCTATGTTATATATTGAAAAACCTTATCGAAATAAAGATCGTACATATACGTTTATGTATCAGGAAATGTTATATGAATGTCATCAATATTGGTGTGTTGAACGCGACGGTGCAGATTTTATTTTATGGATGTATCAACGAAATAAAAAATTTTGTGTAAGAATGCATATTCATACGGGTAAAATATACAACGCCTCGCATCAACTACTCGGGTATAGTTTTTACGTAGGGACACGACGCGAGTATCAATATAATTTGCATATGTTATATGCTCATTGTAAGCAAAATAAAGATATGCGTTTTGTTCTATATAAGGATATGATTCAAAAACATTTTTTACGCGAGGGTGTCTATTTGGATAAGTCTGTTTTTCAATTAATCATTTTCATTCATTCGTGCAAGACGTATTGGGAGTATGATGATGGTCAACCCGTTAGGAATTCGAACTGTGCGTTAATATAATGACTTAAGGATATATCTTTTAATGTGTTCAAGGAAAAGATTCGAGAACGTTTTTTACGCGAGAGTATATATTTGCACGTATCTGTTTTTCGATTAGTTATTTTTTTACACATGTTCACAATACATGGGCGGATACTCGCGTATGGCAGCCTACGTTCCACCGATAATTTATAGTGACAAATGGTATGGACACTATAAGTTTGGTAGTGATGAAGAACTAAACCAATTTATACATTTAATAGATGATTTTGTGGGCGAACGCGTTTATCTTAAGGCTCGACACATATTATTTCCTAATAATGAGAAAACAGATCTTGTGGATGTCATGTATCACGTAATGAACCCCATGTGGTTAAGTAAAGGTCTGGGTCAACGATTGTGGGCGTTGGGAACTGCTCGATTAATTTGTTAAACGTATGGCTGGATGACTTTTTCTACAATAAATCGTAAATATGAATTTTTGGAAAAAATGTACGATAATGTGCACGAAGTAGATTTAATTTTAAAAAGGACGAAAGCTAAAAAAAATATCGCGTTGGCTCTTGGGGGTTTTTTGGGTATCTACACACTGTATAAATTGACGAATTTTTCAGTTTCGATTATTAGCGACCTGTTGCACTAGACGACATGTCCTCCACGGTGAACTATAGCGTGTACGGAAAACGTTATGCGAACGCTCAACATTTATTTGAGACCTACGCAAATAAAACTAGTAAAGTCGGGTGGTATGAGAAATTCGACAAGAAAGTTCACCTCGCATCAGGAGTACTCGCGAGAGGGGGCGAAACAAAATTTTTGTATAAGACATGTATTGGTATCACGACCGACGAACTACTCGAGGTAGCCGCGTGTTTAAAGAAAGCAGCGCATACACCAGGAGCAAGTAACGAGTTTTGTATTTCAGAAGGCACCGATTACAAAGGTGACTCAACCAAATTGGTTCTTCGCGACAGCGACTATCAGGGTTTGGTATTATTGCGTCTAAACGCAAAGAAAGCAGATATTGTGGTTGATGAGGATTCAGACGAAGATCCTGATCCAGAACCCGTCCCTGTCAGTGGTGGTGTTGAAGATGAAAATTTTGAAGATGTGGTGGAATGGTCTGAATGTTTCGAGAAGTTTTACATCTCAAAACGTGATGACTGGAAGAAATTCAATAAAGTTATGTTGGCCATTCACAATGATGTTACACATCTCAACGATGTTGATCGAGAATCAGTGATCCCTCCTGCTGGTGAACCTCAGACGCAGAAGCAGATCGTGGGCCCCTCTACACCCTCTACAACAACCAAAGGTGGTGGAAAACGTGGTGCAGGTGGCGGTGGTGGTGGTGCACGCAAGAAATCTCGTCCGACTAATGCAGAGTTATTTGATAATGAACAACAGGTACGTCGTGTAAATCGTCCTTCGCACCCACCCTTACGTCCCTTGAGACCCATCCCCCCTCTACGTTCCCGCAGTTTGGACAATTCAACGATAAAATACAATAGAGCTCGAAAACATAGCGTGCAAGTAACGTGGGCCGAGCCTTTAGTGAAAAATAGTTAAATTTATATATTTTTTTTTAGAAATTACCGCCAAAAACGGCGTTGGCAACTATTTTTCAATATATGCTCGAGGGTAGTACATTAGAAGATACCATTCTTAAGCATTTAGACGAATTAAATAGTGAAGCAAAATTTGATTATATGCAGTTAGCTCGAGATCAACCCGCCGTATTGTTTGCGATGTACGAAGCTATTCAAGCTCAAATCGGGAGTGACGAGTAAAAAGATTTTGTTTTTTTCTCCACAGAACTGACGATGTCAAGTAAAAACATTAGTCGTGAACTGATAAAAAAAGCAGCACGTCTTTTGAAAGGAAAAAAACTTACGAATGAACAACAAGCGGCGTATAGACTGCATGCTCAAAAACGTGTTAAATACAAACGTTTGAAAATTCATGTAACTAGACGTAATCAACAATGGAGTATTGATTTAGCTGATTTAAATAATTTGTCAAGATATAATAATCAATATCGTTACATGCTTGTGTGTATTGATGTATATTCACGTTATGGGATGGTAAAATTATTAAAGACTAAATCTGCTCGAAATGTAGCGAATAAATTCGAGGAACTTCTTCGAGAGTATGGCGTACCAGAAAAAGTGCAAAGTGATGAGGGTACTGAATTTTCTATAATTAAACGAGATCTTGCCCCACGTTATGGATTTCAATTATTCTCTACGTTTAATCGCGAAACCAAAGCGGTTCATGCCGAACGCTTTATTCGAACATTTAAAGAAATGGTATTGCGTTCTTTGACAACATTGAATTTAAAATATCGCTACGTTGATTATCTCCCCATCGTCGTCGAACGTTACAACGAGTCGCCTCATGCGGGTATCTTTAACGCGACACCGCATGATATCTATATTCGGGGTAAATCCCTTAATAGCCGTAAGCTTTTAAAACGTATGCTAAACAAATCACAACCCACGCGTAATTTACTTCACGAAGGCGATCGTGTTCGTTTGTCGCGTGTAAAAAATAATATTTTTGAAAAATCTAGTTTACAACGTTGGGTTCGTGAAAAATTTATAGTACACAAAGTTTTAATCACCGATCCAGTTACGTACGAGCTGCGTGATGAGAAAGGTGAAAAAATAAAGGGTATTTTTTATCGTGAAGAATTACAAAAAATATGAACATTCAAATTGTAAGCAATGCCCCGAACAATGAGGGGCGAGAAAACTACAATAATATTTTCACAATGCCTTTGCCCGAAGAAATAGACGCGGAAAATCGCGATCGTGAAATACGTGTTTTAAATATTGCCTATCCTCAAACGATTGAAAATGTTCATGAAAAACAATGCGGTATACGTATTAAAATTAACATGGGGAATATTACACGAAGTAATCAAGTTGTCAAATATCAAACAGAAATGATGTATTTACCCGCGGGACATTATGGTTTGGACGAAATGTTAGACTATCTTAATGAATTAGTTGATGAATATGACATGGTTTTTGTTAAACAAGACGGTGGACGTGTAGGTGTTAAATTTAATGGTGACATTCAATATGCCTATCAAACAATTGGTACACCTTATAGTGAAATGTTTGCTACTTTTTCGGGTGGTGCAGAAACCTCATTTGATTTTGAAATGACCCCTAGTCTAGAGTACATGTTAGGGTTGAAAGAATGGGTTGTACATCCCGACATGATTGCTGCTAAAATTGGTCATTCTCAGGCAGACTTACCCTGGTTACAATTTATTCAAATTGAAGGGAACAAACAAAAACTTGAACATTTTACATTTTACGGTAAATATATGCCTGATTTAAGTAATGGCATAAGTAAGTTAATGATTTACTGTGACGAAGTGGAACAATCGATTGTGGGAAATACAAAGGCAAGATTATTAGCATCTGTCCCCATTGCGGTTGAAAAACAAGGTAGTCCATCTCTGGCTGTGTATACCCCACCGGACACGTCTCGAAAATTAATTAAAGGTCGTATTAACGCTTTACATATTGGTGTATATGATACACATTACGACCCCATAAATTTCAGTGCGGGAGTGATTACGTTAGAAGCTATTATACATTAAAATGATGCGTCTTAAATTGGTCGTGGAAAATAGACGACTTATTGTGAAAAAATATATACTATTTGATCAATTCAAGGGGTTTACACGAAATATTAAACCACGAAAACGACGTTATGTTTTACAATCATCGCATACAAACATGACGAGTAATAATGAATTTGCGATTCATTATGCGCGTAAATATCAATTTTCCGATTGTCACGATGGTGCAATCACTTATCGTAAATATTTTGGTAAAAATGGAGAATTTTACGGTATTAAGGGTATGGATGTATTTAATCAAAGAAATAAAGGGTTTGCGTTACAGAAAATGCGTTATTTAACAGCGGTTAGTAAAACAGATCCCCATCTCTATTACGACAGGGAAAAAAAAATTCTACCCTCGTTCATGTTTGTAAGCGATAAACAATTTATAAACGAAAGCGTTCATTTTGAAATACATTGGGGTACCGATACGCAAAAAGGTAATTTGGCTACACAAGAAGGAAAATATATTACGTTGGAATTTAGTATCTTTGAAGATGATTAAACTAGAATTAACAGTTACAGACAAACAATTGATTCCTACAAAATATTCTATTTTGGACCCGTATGAAGGCATCGATTATAATAAACCTGGACGTCGTTATTATACGGTGAATAAATTAGGGTGTAATTTTGTGGGCGGATGGGGATCTTTTACTCTTTATTATCGACGTCAACACAATATGAAATGGCTTGCCGATGCTTATGCCCCTAAAAAAATTACTCATCAACGGGGCGGTGTATATTATGAAATTAAAGGGATGACTTGGGCTTACAGCAATCAAGAAATTCACGGTTTACATGAGCAAAGATATTTAACGACATTCGCCCAAAATAATTTGTCTCGACATTATGGGGGTAAAAAAAGAAGATTACCCTCGTTTTTTTGTGTCAAAAGTTTAGCGGAAATTAAAGATCTTGTTTTTTTTCATTTGACATGGTCCGATGATGTAACTAGCTCGTTGGGAAATAATAACGGGGAAAAAATTACTCTGGAACTTAATCTATACGATAACGCCGACGAGTAAACATGTGCGACAAAGCGACCTACATTCGATATTTAAAAGGAGAGGGTGCACCCTGTCCCGGTACAAATTTACGTATAATAAGAAACGAACAAACGACAAAAAGTACAGAAGCGCGAGCATTGGAGCAGATTGCACCTCCGAGTAAATTAAATCCCAATTATAAGAATACAAGACCTCCTAGAGTGGGTAAAGTACAAACACCGTCTCGCAGAATCGACCCTCGAATTTTAGAACAACTACTTTATGGCAAGTAAACGGAGAAACGCTGCAAAATTTGCAAGATTAGCTCTTTTGTTATCCGCATTGAAACATGCTAAAACAAAAAAACGAAGAGGGAAAAAAAAGAGTAAAAAATATTCGAAAAAACAACGCGGGGCTGGTTTTGGAGCAGGGATGGCATTAGGGACAATGGCTCCGATGGTTCTAGGTACACTTGGCAAGATTTTAAAAATCAATGTATAAATAGAGTATTAAAACGAAAAAAAAATAAATTAGTTGTAAAAAAATTCACGTGTGTGTGTGTATTTATATTTTCTTGCGCGACAATCTACGTCATTATCACCATGATCGGTCGAGCAGCTAAACGTGCACAAGTCGATGACAGCGGAGCGGAAGAAGTGGAAAAACATGATGGGGGGTTTGTTACACCCATGCAAATGTTCGCCACCTTTCCTCATAATATAACATTTGAGGAAACGCGTGAATTAAAACTTCTTGCCACGCCTGCATCAAGCCCCGATTCAAACATGTATACTTTTATTCACAATCGGCAAGAATATGGCGTCATGCGATTAGAAGATGCCACCATATCGGCAGATTTGCGGGTTGTGACCAATGCCGGTGGGGTTCCTGCCAACACACGTAGAGTAGCACCCATGACACGACCTTTAGCATTTGGTTGGAAAACGAAAGAAATATATGTAAACAACGATCTGGTGAATACCACCACGACACATGAATCAGAAATTTGCTATATCAATGCGTTTTTGACGCAAACACCCGAGAGCCGGAATGATAAACGCGATTTGTGTATGGGGTGGTATGATACTGCTGGTCAATTTGACAGCACCGTGGGTTTTCAGGATGGGAATAACGTTGTCAACGCTGGAGGTCGTAAAAGATCGAATCCAATAAATGGGGGGGAGAGATTTAAATGTTATGACACATTGGATTTGTTAGGTCATAATAAACGATTTTGCACCACGTCTTTCGACGTTAAAGTGGAATTAACGAGATTGGAAAAATCAAAATTTTTCAATGGTGTCGATGCGCATGTTACAGCACTTAAGATGCAGTATCATGATTTAACATTGACAATTCCCATGATGAAACCCGTTGCTCAATTATCTGCTGCAATTAATGAGTTGATGATTCAGAGTTCGGAAGAATGTAAATTTTACACCACGACCTATCGTTATGTGGGTAAACCCTTGGCTGTTGGAGCTCAGAATATTCAGGTGAATGATATTTTCAATGGTGGGCGACCTACCCGATTTATTTGTTTCCAGAAAACCCAGGCACGGTACAACGGGCACAACGAGTTAAATTTTCACAGCATGCCATTTCCTGGCATCAATCATTTTCAAGTGAAAATCAACGAAGCTAACATCCCCCCGTTAATTACCAATTCGAAAGAAGCGTATTTAAATCTGACCCGTGTTCTAGATAAACGTCACAGTCAACTGCCTGTGACATTTTCTGAGTATGAATCTGATTATGGTATCATCGTGGTTGATTTAACAACTAATCGCGATAGTTACAACAAGGTTCTACCCAATTCAACGGCCGGTGTAGTGAGTGTTGATATAAAATATGCTGCAGCATTACAAGCTGCACAACAATTGGTTTTTATCGGAGAGTTTAGAAATCAATTGTCCATCGGCTATAAGACGGCTGCACGTAATAAATTTGAATTTTAAAATGGGTAAAGTCGTAAAAAATAAACGTTGCTGTATTAGAAAAGCGGGCGAGCCAAAAAAATCAAACAGACTGTTAAGACCCCCAGACGGGAAAGTTATAAGTTCATACGGTCGCTCACTACCCACGTTACACGTTCACCCTGTTATTTCACGATATGGCTGATCAAGACGATGTAGTACCGGTGTCAGAAGAAGAGGAACAATCGGAAGAGGAAATTGAAGAAAGGAATCTTATGAAGGCGATGACGAATATGTTGAAACAGACGTCGAACAGGAAAAACCCGAAGAAACTAACGTAGAAGAGGAAAAATGTAGCGAGGACGAGATGTACATTGATGATTTATGTGAAAGCGAGGATGAAAACGATGAAAAACCCGCTTTAAGCGACGAATTATTTAGTAAAGTACTTAGTGATTTAATACATTTAAAATCGCGTAATGATAAACGAAAAAAATCACATCTTATTCCAAGTGTAACAAAATTTTTAAACACGACCATTACAAAACGTTCCATTTCAAAAGATGTCAAAAAAAATATGCTCAATCTTTGTCAACATGTTTTTCGGGGAAAATTACCCGTGACTATATCAGTTGATAGTAAACGTTTTCTTGGGCATTTGCTAGACAAGCGTACACCCAAAGAAGACGTTAACGTTGCTTTGAGCGAGAATTTAATAGTTCACTCGATATTACGCGAAGCTCTTGATCTAATAGCTAAAAAATGAGTGATAGCGTACGAGAATTAACATTGGTCGATTCGGAACGTTTTAATAAACTTATATCAACATTGCAAAAAACTTTAGAACGTAAAAATATCGTAGAACAAGCAACTGCCCCAAATGAGGAGGAAGATTATGTACGAGCTCACGATGATGTAATGAAAAGTGTAAAAAATAAAGATGATTTAGCTGGTATGAAAATTGTGAATTTTTTAAATAAAAAAGATAAGCTAAAGGGAACTCAAAAAGCAACAGGGAAACTCCCTAACCCTCCTGACGCCCCCGCAAATCCCGGTAGTGCGACACCAGGTCAACGGCGCGCTCAACGTCCTGGCACTACAGTAGAAGCGGCAAACGAAAGAATTATGGAAGTTTTTAAAAGAGAGGGTGTGGCACGCGGGGGTAGTGGAAATGTTGTGCACAAAGGCACACGGTATAATATACCCTATACCGATTTAGTTTATGATTTAACACACAATACGACAGAAAAAACAGCCAATTTGACATCGGTAGAAGCTCAACAAGCCATGCGCTTATTAAGAAAAATTAAAATGCCTGCTTCACATATTCGCAGTTCACGTCTTCGAGGGCAGTATATAAGAACGCGTACGTTACCCGAAACACCTTCTAGCGAAAGCGATTCCATTACACCTTTAGCTCGACCCGCAGCTTCAAGAATTCCACGTCATACAGCACCAACACCCTATAATCGTCGACCGCGTAGTACGCACAACACGGCTTATGGACAATTAGATCGTGACATTCGTAGATTATTACATTAAGAATGACTAGTTTTGTTTGTTTTGTTAGCAAATTTCTAGACACTGATCATTTAAATAAATTGGCACAAACTAATCAAATTCTCAAGCCTTATTATTTGGGGTGTTATCCTGCTAATATATATCCTACAACCGTACGTTCGTCTTGTTGGATATGGAATACAGACGAGTCCGACAAACCCGGTACACATTGGGTAGCAGTAGTAAAAAATAAGAAAAAAATCATTTTTTTCGATAGTTACGGTAAAACACCTTCATTTTTTAAACGGAACTATTGGCTAGACTATTTTCGCAATACTCTTCATTGTGACGTCACCTATCATACTCGTATACAATACCAATCCTATATTAGTCGAACGTGCGGAGCATGGTGTCTTTTATTTCTATGGAATTATTGGTCCAACGAAAACGTATTCGTACAAATGAACAAAAGAGATTTAATGGAAAACGAACAACTATTACGTACACTAGTCTATAAGATTTTTCCAAAAATTGTAAATATCTACAAGACAAAATGTCGTCAACATAAAGGACAAGTTTGTAAATCTTTTATGCAATCATATTTATTAAAAAAATAACTTTTTACATGTCTGGGGTACATTCGTAAATTGTAGTTTTTTCACCGGGTAAAATACCCGTACGAATTCGTGTATTACTATAACCTCGTGGCGAACCATCAAAACAAATATACCCATACTGACTTTTCTTCTCTACAGATTTAATTACTTTGTGAATTTTTTTCAAATTAAGTTTTTTATTTGAAGCAATCATTTCTATATTTCGAAGATCCGTGTAGTTGTTAAACATCACGTGATACTGGCTATTAACGCGTGCAGTTCGTAATTTCCCACTTCCGTAATTTAGATCTTGACATACGAAAATAACCGACGTGTTTGTATGATGACTATCGCGTGAGGCTATATTATTTAAATTTTCCGTATACTTTGTATCGGACGCTGCTAGAATCATTAAATCGTCTAGAACCAAAAGTGTAGCGTTACCCAATTTACTTTTTAGTTCGCTAATGGTGGGAATACCCAATGCACTACAATTCATAAACTCGAATGTTTTCAAGTTTGACTTTGTACTGTTTTTACGTATCATGTCTTTAATGTCGTTGTATTTCGTTTGGTCTGTACTGTACAGATAGACAAGTTTATCCGGTGTGGGTTTAACCACCTCATCGATATTCATTATTATTTTCTTGATGAACTCTGTTTTTCCACACTGTGTGGGTCCACACATGGTGAGCATAAACGGATGATGCAAGGGTAACGCAGCATGATCAATGCATTTTTCCTGAGAAAAAAAAAAATACAGAAACTCATAATCCGTAACCAAAAGGAAGAGTTGTAAAATCATCACAAACAACACGTTTATCGAATGTAAAATGAAAAGTTTTTTCTTTATTTTCCACCGCAATTGTTTGACTATTACATCGAGCAAATTCACGATAGACGACCGTAATTTCCTGACTGTGATCACGAACACAACTCGAGATCGTGTCGAAAGTAAATTTTTTTTTCGCATCACCCTGTAAACGAAAACCCTTAACATGTGTCACCTCGTCAACACGTTCCTCGCGTGTACCATCTTTTAACGTTTTAATATATCGATTTGTACGATACGAATAAGATTTAGGACCTGCTGCGCAAAATTCCCTAATCCATTTTTCCGTGCAATTTTTCTCACTTAATTCGTCAGTTAATTGCCCCAAATATTTACCCGTTTCCAAGTATTTCCCCCGTGCTCGATCTTCCCTGTAAATAACCGAATCCGTATCATAATATAAAACATTCTCTTGTAGTTTATTAAGTACTGAAAATAATTCTAGACGTGCATACGCAGTTACAAATGAAGCGATCACTACATTACGATTACCCAAAGTTGTTAAAGCCCCCGATATTTTTCGATGAGTTGTGCGTGCAATATCATCGCTTATAAAATCCAACGAGGTTACCTCAATAGTTTTATCATTTACCAATTGTAACAAATCGTCAAAATCATCAAGAAACGACACTACAGTAGTATCTTCGTTTTGTGCTAATTTTCCCCACAGCGAATTTAAAAGAGCTTTCATTACCGTACGTTGTCCGGGATTATGACCTATCTTTGAAGCATCTAAGTAAATTTGTTCATGATCTGCATATTCCTGTATGTATGCTTGTAATTTTACGTCATCAATACTGCCATCATCTTTTATACACTGACGTGGCATACCGCTACTTTCCTGTTTTAATTTCATGAACGTATCAACGTACAAATCAAAAATCTTAGCACTATGCGTGTAATGATAAACTTCATAAATAGCAAGTATTTTATAACCGTGTTCAAGCGCTGCGTGAACTTCTACACTCGTCCACGTACCATACAATGCTCGTTGCTCGTCATCATGTGTACACGTATCACATTGATTGCGCGCGCAAGTCGTACAGAGAGCAAACGTTAATTTCTCTAACCGTATGGGTAACACGGGAAATAGCATAGTAAACGGTGCTAATATTTTACATTTAATTAGCCCGAAAATTTGCGAAACATTTAATTGTGCACATTTGTCAACACCACGCGTAATCTCCGGATGTTTTGTTGGATAACGATATTTTTTTTGAACAAATGGATAAAGGGAAGTAAAGTCGTAATAACGAACTTTCTCTTCTGAATCGCCGACGTCATAAAATAACATTGCCGGTGACGTACGACCTCCAAATAATGCGTCACGAGGATTTAAATTGATGTAGGTGAAATATTTCACATGACCCAATTCAAGAATAGTATTTCGTGATAAACTACATTCTTGAATGTATTCGCATTCCCATTTTTCTATAACCGTGAAATGATAATCTTTAAAAAGATCAGTGATTCGCCGAGTTTTTTCACGTAGGACATAAAATCGTTGTCCATTCACTTTGTTGATATCACCGCTTTCAAAACATTCGCTACAACCATGAAAAAAACAACCATGAAATTGATAAATAGTATTCGTTTCAGCACAATAACCATCCACATTATAATTTAAAACATTCTCCTCTCCTTCCGGTGACAACTTACTTCGCAACGAATAGCCTTGTGTTTCAAGATCTTCGCGAATCTCCTCGAGCCAATGTAATGCGATGATACTTTGATTAACATTCCCCCCGTAACCCGTAGGTGGAATTTGACCGATAACATCTTCTTTTAAAAAATTAGCACGATATATTTTTAATGCTAAACCCGCGATGGTGTGACATGTGCGATCGTAAAATGGAAAAATTTTCGTAATATTTACAATGAGACGTGCAAATCTTACACATCCTTGCCGTAAAATATCAACGTCTAGACGACAATAATAATAAACAGCATCGCGAAATATGTACGTTTTTGTTTTTTGAATTTCATACCATTTATTAAATGCTTCCATATCCTCTTCACGACTTAAATCAAAATATTCCAACCCTACCATGGGGCCCACATAATTTAAATCTGTAAATAAATGAGGATGATACCCTTTTGCAAGATCGGGTATATCCATGGCTTCGGGAATTTTACTCAAAGGCATGGCCAAAAACAAATAACTATCAATTACTTTAATTGAAATATCCCCGTGTCGAATTTCCATACTCATAATTTTATTACCATTCATAACCGTATGGGGAACCACCCCTTTTTTTACTAATAATTCCCGAAGTAAAAATATATTATCAAAACGCCCCCCATTGTGTGCTATCCACACACTATTGTTGGCTTGAGCAAACATAAAATCAATAAGTAATTCGGTAACATCCTCGTTATTATTTTCAAAAACATATTGTCTGTGCATACAGCACGGTACGGGCTCAACACTATTATCACAATGCTTGATTGTGGGATGAGGCAAAAAATTATCTTGCGATCTAACAAATTCTTTTTCGTCGCATTGACTACAAACTTTTTGCACAACGGCATAAAAAGGTACCATAAGTTTTTCGTCATTCACACGCGTTTCAAGATCGTAAAAATACAACACGGGTAATACTTCGTTGACGGGAATTTTATACGGTTTCATGTAACAAGCATGACCCTGATCCTTAATAGCATTACAATGAAGACAATAAAACTGACCGCATTTATGTTTTATCGATTTTTTTGTACTAATTCGTGTCATACGTGGTACGATTCGATAACAAGTTTTACAAAAAAAGAAAAAACGACAGGCCGGTACATTTTTGCTATAATTATTTTTAAAAATAGCATGTGTTAGATGTTTTGTAAAACATTTTCGATTGTAAAACAGTACATGACATTCGCTACATTCAATTTTAAAACCCTCTTCGCCCACGCATTTTGCCTCGTGGGCGTAACATTTTTTACACGTATTTACCGTGTGACAAACGTGGGTCGTGGCATTTTCAAAAACACGAAAGTATTTCATACATTTCATACAAAAACGAGATCCGCTGTTTTTCATAAATTTTCGTGACGATAAAATCAAATCAAAATGAGCGTCATTTAACCAAAGAAAAATAACATTCTCGGTAATACGATGAATATTTCCCGACGCATCTAAACGCGAATCATATACGATGGAATCATGCCGAGATTTAGAAAAAATAACCAAATCAATATTGTCTGCACGTAAATAATTCTCGTAGAACAAATGACATTGATCAATCCGTACGGAACCCTGGGGTACATTTGCGCATGCGTAAATATTGTCAATCTGTGCGTCTGTATACAACGTCGTAAGTTCCGTGTTACGTCGTACGTTTAAAACATCGTATTGTTTGTCTTTTTGCAAAAACGATTTTCCCACCAGCAAACTAAGGGCAAAACACTTTTTACTACTTACCACTTGAAAAACACCATTTCGTACCCCCCGCCCATGCTTACTCGCCGATGTGCGCCCGTTACCCGACTCGCTGGGATTTTTACCATAATATTTATAAATTTTAGGCTGTTTGTATTTTTTCCTATTATTTGGGGGGCGCACATACCTATTGGGGAAAATATATAAACTCACGATCGATTGCCAGCCATTGTCAATCACGGCACGTGCATTACTTTGCATATGTCGTTCGAAAATATTTAAAAACAATGCAGGTGTAAAATCACCTACATTCAAAATAGCCGTCGAGAAACTAGCCGTCGGAGCATTCGAAATATAGAAACGTGCTTTATTTGTCGGCGAACTAGCATTAAAATTCATTACATTTATGAGATATTTAAAAACAGTATTCATACTCTGTAAAAAATCCGGTAAACTACTCGCATTATTACGCCCCACACTAATATTATAAATAAATTCGTTGTGATTAAATCGTCGATTGACGCGTAATAATTCGGCACTAAACACTTCCGGTCGTATGCGTTTAGTTTGATTTGTGCGAATTATGTCCACAAGTTCGTGAATTTGCTGGGTGGAAATGTCATAACTGGGTACGGTATGGTTTCTAGTACGAATAATACGTACGATATCTTGTACGAGTTCCCCATCTACGTCGTCGTCTTCGTCTCGTTTTCGTTTTTTCGACGCCGACGATGCCATAACAGACAACAACAACGCGTCGGCTTCACTTCCTCTTCTTCTTCCACACCCTCTTTCCCAGTGTCTGTAATATCCAATTGAATATTTGGACTTCGATTTACGTTTACAAACATACAATCGAACGTAACAAGAGGCGTATCACTACTACCCGTACACAATTTAGAACCCATTATAAATAATATTTGCAACAAGACAAGACGTATACAAATGGCAACGGGACACATAAACATCCATTTTAAATCACTTATAAACCCCAAAGAAAATTATGTAGCAAATTATGAATTTAACGACGACGATCAAGACATCGCAATCATACCTATATTATTTAAAGATGCCCTTTCTCTATGGTGTCACGACCAACTTGAATCATTTGTTGAAATATCCATCAACGATCTATGGTCTCGATTTGCAGATATGTGTGTAACATACACAATTCCTCTGCATCTATCAAATAAAATAACCAATGCTATTAATTATATAGAGCGTCATAAAGACCAATACGTAGGCATTTCCGTAATCGTCTAAGCAATGGCGAGAACTAAGAAAACACCGCGACGACAAAAATTTGTATTAAATTTACTACGTCAAACACGTCGACGTCGAAAACGTAAACCCAAATCGCAAAGTATTCGAAAATCTCAACAATGTGTAAGCAATACACAAAAAGATGCACGTTGTCATAAACGAACAGCGCACACGGAAAAATGTTGGATTCATTTAGCAAAGCAAAATAATCTACGCATTAAACCCTCTAATGTGGCAGGTGCAGGCAAGGGATTATTTGCATGGAAAAAACCCATCACACGAGGAAAATTGATTTCAAAATATACCGGTCGTAAATTAAGTAAAAAAGAATTGGATAAAAAATATGGGGACGCTGTTGCAAAATATGCCGTATGCAATAAACGAGGACGATGTGTTGATGCCACATACACTACAGACGCAGCAGCACGGTTTGTTAACGATAGTCGAGGTACATCTTTTCAAAACAATGCCAAAATAAAGGGTAATCAAATGTTTAAATTAAAAGCGACTAAAAAAATACCCGCTAACCAGGAAATATTCACTTCGTACGGAGACGAATACTGGTCATAAAAAACACTGTTTGTAACAATGAATATTTATTTGAACGCACACGTATGAAAATATGGTTCGTAGACGAAAACAAGGCGGGGGAAATTTCAAGGGAAAAAAATATCAACGTAGCAAGAAACAAAATGGCGGGAATCTTTTTACAAAACTAAGAAAGAGTTCGTTCTCGAAAAAACTTCTCGCCGCAGGAAAACATTTGGCATTGGGCGCGTTGGGAGGAGGTGGAGAACAAACAAGAAACACTCCACCCCCCATGCCTGTTCGAAAAAATTACCAACGAGGTGCAGGAATCAAAAAGAAACGCAAGGGTGGACATGCTAAACTTAGAAATACTATACCGTCTGCAAAACATGTAATGTATCATCAATAAATATTTACCTAAAATATTTCCTGTTGTGCTGATTTTTTCCTTTACACGCTTCGACAATAGACGACGTAAATTTTTCTACCGATGCGTCTTTTTTTTGTAACACGCGCATACACAAATAATTACTTCCATAAATTTCAAAGTCCTTTTATTCATAAGCCAAGTGTCATCATCATTCCATATAAGGTAATCAACTTTTTACAAGTATATTTTATTTAAATTTCGGTCGTTTATACATAAATAAATTAAGTTTTGACATGTTGAATATAAATGAGAATATTACATTCTCATACAATCTCGAAATTTAGTACGTCTCCATAATAAAAAATGTTCCATCATCGTCGCATACGTCAGCTGAACTGATACCAACTCGCAATCCTTCACATGATTTTATAACGTAAATTTAGCATCCTTTTAAATTCACGCAATCGACAAATATTTATATTCGTTGTATTGTTTGTAGTATGTTTCAACCCCATCAAATACGGTCGTACAGCACTTGCAAGACATCTTTTTTTACCCCCAAGACTAAATTCTCCATGTTCATATTCAACAGCGGAAAAAAAATCTCTTATCACCCACAATTGCATATACGTTAAAATCAAGGGTTTTCCCACAGGTTGTAAAATTTGCATGTCTATCTTTTCTTCCACAAAACATAGCCGTAGAATTTTTTTCGAAAAACGTCTACAAAATTGTACCAAACCCGCTATCTTCACAGAGCCCCGTAGCTCATATTTTACATATTTAAAATATTTCAACATTCCGTTTTCGCGCCATTTTAACAATAATTCTCGCAATAGTTTCTCTTTAACACCAGTTGTTTCAAAATAAAATGTTCGCGTACTAACCATATTTACACCCTTCTAACACGAGACCCAAGATATACTGGTCCGTTTTAACAACATCTACATATTTATCTACAAACGAACATAGACATTGAATACACGATGCAGGTTGAATACTATATCCCCGTAATGCCATACGAACTAAAAGACAGGAATAACCTTCGTCGTAATCATCTTTATTTTCATAGCTAACAAATCCCACTACACACTTATTTCTATAAATCCAACGCGTATTAGGATATTTAAAGTACAATATTTTAATATTATATTTGCGAAACACTACCATGTTCTTGTATAAACTTCAACACAAGACTATGTGAAGCTTCAATACCCAATTCATTAGTATCATTTAACAATGCCGAATAATATTGTTCTCGAATCACATTAAATTCGCCGTCTATCAAAAAAACATCACAAGGTATTATATCATCTAAAAATACTTCTACGTTACAATCATCACTATAATCCGGTACGGGGTCACTTGCCTCAAGAAACTTATCAATTGTCATTATAAAATCTTTTAAATATTTACAACATTTACTACATACTAAAATATGTTTTAATAATTTCTGCAAATATTCACTATCATATTCTTTAAACGAACCGTCGTTTTTCATCATATGCAGCGTTAGATCAGCAATATCACCTAAGATATATACAATATATAATATATCTACTTCAAAAGATGCTGTTCGTAATATTTCAAACAAGGGTTTTAATCCCAAAAAAATAGGTATTTCATACAACAAGTACGCTTTTTCTTCATTGCAGGGTCCACACCCTACGTGAAAATAAGTTGCATCCTTAAGATAAGGTTCGCTTAAAATCATCTCTTGACAACGCACCAATTTACAATCGGTACGCTTCAAGACTTGACGGCAGCAAAACTCGAAAGCTTTCAGAATCATGTACCCATCTTTATCAAATACAACTCTTTTCAACCATTCGCAGGGTATAACATACGTAATTCCTTCGCTATATCTTGGCGAAATCAACGCTTCAGTTGTAGAATTTCCGTCTTTGTCTTTAAATTTGTCATCATAACAAATAATAGAATTTAATCCCGTACCCACACCACACAGCCACGGTTCTTTTTCCACGAAGTAATCATAAATAACACGTTCTTTATCCATGCGAGGTTTTCTCGAACGTAACGTACTATTCACAGAATACAAACGCCATAGAATAGGATGATGTAGATAATTTTTCAATAAAATATCAAACGCTTCTATAGCCGCCTGTCCCTGTGAAAGACGTACAAAGTCACTCGAAAGATCTATGGAGTCCGACATGTTTGTGCTAACTCGTTTAAGAAATGTGCAAATACCTGAACTTCGTGTCTAGAACAATGATAATCACCGTACAAATGATACGGGCAACGTTCAGGTGTCATACCATATTTGGTAATCAAGTTCGCATACTTCTCACACCCCAATAACTCAATATTAATACCTTTCGTACCCAATTTCTTTAATAAATCTCTTTCGATAGTACCCCCTTTATAACCCACCAAATCTGCAGAGGTCATAAACTCTTCACATAACACTTTATACACGTCATGATATTGTAAAAAATCCTCGTTGTTTTTTTCATACACCACGGGTAGACCGTGAACGTGGTGAATTTGATAATGTACTACCTTTGGATTTATATAAATATTTGGCATATAAATTTGAAATGAAAATGTCTTTTCGTCTCGTATTCGATACACAGACACCTCTCTTAAATAAACTTGATTTTTCCCCAACGTATATGCTTCACAATCCATAACGTGTGTAATTCGACTAACAATATCTTTTTGATATTTTCGTACATAATTTTTTTCCCAATTTTGAATTTGATTATGTTGTTTTTCAAACCAACGCTCTACAATCTCCATACCCTAAGAGCACACGCACACACACTGAAGGTTAAAAAATTTTATTTTTTATTTTATAAATCTGTTTATTATACATTCACAAACACAATACGGTTTGGCCGCATTGCATTTACAATTCATCTTAAAATAATTTCGATTCGTATAATATTTTTGTGCATAAATAATATAAGTTTGAATTAAATGTTCGCTAACAAATACGTTATAATCTAAACAGATAGTTTTACAAATCTCCTTTGCGTCCCGAAGTTTTGTATTCAGTGATTCCCGCATTAGTGTATAATAAATATCATGCAGTATAGTCACCATTTGAGAATGTTGTTCAAAATATCCATGTCTACAGCCACTTGTATAACGGGGCATAGTACAACCCATAGATTCCCGACAAACGCGGCGCATGTGGTTAGAAGGTATCCATTTTATCAAAAATCTTGATGCAATATGCTTTCTAGCACAATGTACAGACGTTAAAATCACATCCAACGACAATATTGTACGTTCCAAATCCAAATGTTTTACAACAACGTACATATATAAGTTGAAGGAAAAAATATGTTCAGCATATAACAAATTCACGATTCTTTCACCACCCTTAGCATAAACATTTCGACGAAGAACATCGTAAACTTCTAACTCCTCATCACAAGGTGTAGCACGACAAAACATTTTTTAATCACAAACATATTCCAAATTTTTAAACTGTTCAACACACGAAACACACATTGTCTCACAACGGCATCTTGGAGGTACATATTGCAAATTACGACGTTCTGTATCCCACGTGATACATTTACACGATGACGTCATAAAATCTTTAACAGTATACTGTAGTTTTAAAAGATATTTCACAATACGCGCCAATCGATAAGACGGATACATATGTAATACATTATTACACACTTCACGTAAAACGTCGTCACTACACTGTGTACATTGATCAACAGCAGCCATAAAAAGTTTTGTTTTCTGATATAAAAATAAATGTATACTCCCCACGTATTCCTCGTCATGGCATATCATATCAATACTGGTGGTAACCAGCCAAAACGGGGGGCTCCATACACGATCTGTTGTTATATACATCGATTTACGGGGGTGCATATAAAAATCAACCTCGATCAATCCACAAAATCCCAACGAGAAACATACGCAACCGATTACCACACGTCTTGTCGAACTGCCCGCAATTATATACATATTTTCAAAATAAAAATAACACTGTGGAAAGGGTATTATACACCCTCCATTTACAATATTACTTTGTATCTCATCGATTCCAACGGGTAATTTAAAATAATAACGCCACATTTCTTTAACTAACATCAAAAATTTATTATCACAAAACAATAATTCTTGAATTTCACTTTTGTCCTCATTCTCTCCAATATATGCATTTTGTTGTACGCTATCCATGCTTACACGTGGGATGTGAATACCACGGTGTGAAAAAAGGAAAGTATTTTATAACACACGCCCCCTTGCAATTTGATAACATTCGCATACGTGCATCCCTAAGCATTTTACAATAATAAAGTAAAATTTCAGTTAAACGACACGAGCCATGCATTCGTACACAATCAGAACACTTTACGCATACATTCTGTAACGACAAGTCCATAGAACTAAAGTGAAAAATAGTTTCAATAAATGTTTCCACGCGTCCGTAAACATACGCCCTTATTGTTTTACATGTAAAAAGCGTATTCATAAAATAAAGCACATTAAAATTATGTTTAATTTCAATATAGGGTGCACGATATTTCACAGGATTTGTATATGCTTTTTCAGGCGTCGTATGAAAAATCACATCAATAGCTACATAGATCTCCCGACTCCAGCATATCATCATCATTGTAATTACATAGGTGTTCTGTTTTACAACAGAATTTAAAAAATAAAAATAAGTTTGTGGAAACGGTACAATCATTCCATTATTTACCAACCACATGGGTTTGTTCATTGATAGTTTTATAATATTTTTTCTTGAAAACGTTAAAAGGAAATTCAAAAATTGGTCATCGATTGTCAACAAACGATTTGCTTCACACACATCAAACTTGGCATAATCAACATTTCCATCACACATTCTACTCTGTAACGGTATATCTATAGGTAACAAAGGATCACGAACATTTTGCATCCAATCCATTTCAATAGTCTAAAAAAAAATACTATACATCAACCCAAGTGTTCGTCGCATGTGCCTTTGATATATCTTCAATGATGTCTTGTAACAACATATAACTACATAGTATTTTTGTTCTTGCAACAATCTCTTTAATTATTTCCCACACATCGACATCCTTCTGTCTATAAATTATGCTTGGTAATACCATATCAAACGTATCAAACAAAGATGAGTTCCGAGCAAAAATATAATCATCATTTTTAAAACATACGGGTATACTCATAAGATTTCTATACGTCTCGTTTTTACACAAATTCACAAAACTCACGTTATACACATTTATACCATACGCTTTATATCGAAGTCGTCCCGTTAAAACATATTGTATATTATAAATATAATCACAATAATAAAATAATACGCCAGATGTCACCCGTCTATTTTTCGTCAATGTACGATTTATTAAAAGTTTTATTTTTTTATCGTATTGCTCACCATCAGCCATAGTAGAACTTGTAGCTATTTCTTGAACAATTTCTGTAAATATTTCCACACATTCGCCCGTACAAGGTATCCAATATCGTAACCAAACTAGCAAAAGTATGCTAATCAACAAGGTCAACAAGGTTTGTAAATCCAACATTCTTTGCATTTTTCGTCGAATTATTAAACGACATCTTGCCAATAATTCTTTCATTCTAAGAAAAACAGATCAATCATTTGTTACAACCCCACACAACGTCGCACCATATTTGGTAATCGACTTTTTCACTCACAACCATATTTGGTAATCGACTTTCTACACTGTCACATGCATTAATCTACTTTTTATGTCTAAGACAATCGTACAAGAATTTTCAGACAGTTTATTCACTATGGCTTCAGCACAGCAACAGCAAGATCTAAAGCTCTTCTTCGAATATCAAGGAGTCGACGAAAACAACCTAAATCGACTACATTACGTTCAAAAGTTCACGGATTTCCAGTTTTTCCGACTAGCTAACCCCGTATACTCGTCGTTCGATAAAGCCTACATCAAGTGGTTACAACAACCCATTTATCAAGAAATGGAAAATAATACAATTCTTACACAACCATCCCAGACACCGACCTTTTTCAATGCGCCACCACCGTACACGTCACCGCCTATCCTGAACAATGTGAACGAATGCTATAATACAGACCTATTAAATATCATGAACCCGATAAACCCGAATATTTTATACAACAACAACGATGCAGAATATCTAATGACTGACACAACCACCGAAGTACTAGAATCGAGTAGCGATAATCAATCTCCAGCAACGTCCCCCGTTACCGTACAACCTCCCGCAACCCCCGTAAAAAAAACGCTAACTCCTATGGGTAAAAACATAAACAATTTAAAGAAAAGTCTAAAACGAAAAGCGTCTTCGTCCACTCCTAAAAGTGGTCGTCCAAACAAACATGTACATCTTACGCGAATTGCAAACGACCAAGCAGACGAGGAGAAAATAAGCTCGCAAGATGTGATTCTCTACGCATTAGACGGATCGGAGAAAAAACGAAAAACAATTCTTACTACTAGCAACGAAACTCTTGAAACCTATAACATGAAACATTATCAATGCTATATATACCTAGGAGAAAAACGCGAACGAGCATTAGAGAAAATTAAAATACAAAAAGAAAAACTAGAAAAATTTTGTTATCTTGAAAAATTTACAATAGAAGCGTTAAAAAATCGTAAAAGTAGAAAACTCGAAAAAAATGTTCTGTAAATAATTGTATAAAAATAATTAATAAATGATATAAAAATTGTATGCGTGTAATATATCACTACCTGAAAAACACCCGTAATTTCGGGTTACCGAACCCCGAAACATGACCCCACAACCCGCAAACACCCGCGTGACACCCCAAAAGCGGGCGCAAGAGCATAAAAGAGCGCGAACTTCAAATCCAAAATCAGTTCGGTCGACCGCGGCTTTGGAGTAACATCTCGCCCCAGCCCCTCCCGTAAAACCCGTTCTCGTAAGAACGAAACTGTGCCCACCCCCCCAAAAAACAAACACACACACCCTCCAGAGCCGCACGGCGGGACATAACATTCCTGAAGTCACATGACCACCAAAACTCCCCCCGTCCGTACAGCCCACCACGCCCATGGCCAACGCCCACTTGGACACTCTCGCGTAATACTAATTCCAGTTAAATTTTTCTGGTTCCCGCTCCCCCTTGTTTTTTTATTGTATATATATATATAACGACTACTAACGGGGAACACACCATATTCCGTGATCGGTGTGGACTTTGCGGGTCCTATTCTTTACCGTGCAAGCAAGAAAATTGAAAGGAAAGCTTACTTAGTGGTTTTCGCGTGCAGCCTCACACGAGGAGTACACCTGGAACTGTTAAAGAGCCTTGAAACTGAAGAGTTTCTACAAAGTTTTAAACGCTTTATTGCCCGACGAGGAAGACCTTCAGTCGTGTATTCCGACAACGGAGCCACCTTTAAAGCGGCAGTAACATGGCTAAGGAAAGTTTGGAAAGAAGAGAAATTCCACGAAGCTCTTTGCAAGCTTGAGATTGTTTGGCGATTCAACCTCGCGAAAGCACCATGGTGGGGTGGTCAATACGAGCGCCTCATTGGTATTTTCAAATCTATGTTTCGTAAGACAGTCGGGGGTGGACTCTTGTCCTTTTCGGAACTAGAAGAAATCGTGCTCGACGTAGAAGTGTGCATGAACAACCGTCCCCTAACATACTTGGAGGATGATCCTCAGCTGCCTGTCTTGACACCAAACTCGTTTCTGTTCCAACAACCAACAGCAGTACCAGAGCTACAACCTCATCAATTAAAAGAGCGTGACCTGAAGAAACGTCTTAGGTTCCTTTGTACAACGAAAGATGGACTATGGAACCGCTGGACACGAGAGTATCTCACAGGACTAAGGGAGAGACATAAAATTGTTCGTGGATCTAAAGCAGAATGCCCAAATGTAGGAGATGTTGTCATTGTTAAGGGAGAAAACAAGAATAGAAATACCTGGAAACTGGGAAAGATCGTCCGACTTATTACCGGCAGAGACGGAGTGGTGCGAGGCGTAGAGCTACAAACGGGGAATGGAAGACTGGAGCGACCGTTGCAACTAATTTACCCTTTGGAACTTCATTGCGACCAAGAGGCTGTCGAACGGGAAACTCCACCACTTAATGCACAAGCGAAAGAATTCAGACCTAAAAGGAAAGCGGCAGAGACTGCAGCAGCGAAGATCAATAAAGTACTTGCGGAGGAAGAGGAGACGGTGATAGATTGAACGATAGATTGAACGATAGATTGAACGAGAGATTGAACGAGAGATTTTGAACAAGAGATTGGGACATTAGTTCCTTTTGTTGCATACATCTCATTAGAAAAGATGTATGGGGGGAGTGTGTCGGAACTAATGTAAACATTAACAGCAGACGCTATACTAATCAACTAACATAAATAATATAGTTCATGTTTATTATACTAACCTAATTACTAATTCACCGGAAGTGACGGCGCTAATTCATTGTTTGGGTTAGCCAATAGACAGAGACTATTTACATGTGCTTTATGGGGGAATATATTTGTTATTGGGATCGGGAATTTTGTAGTTTTACTTGTGAGAATATTTGAGAGAGAAATTGTGATTTTAAATTGTGATTTGCTGTGTTTCTTATTATTATTGTCTGGGCGACGGGCAGTAGTTTCCTACAGCGTTCTCAAACAGAATTATTTGCAACTTAACAGCGAATTTAAACCGATACAGGTAAAATAAACTCATTTATAGTATAAACTTACTATTTTTATTTGTATACACGTCTAGAAAATCGGGTTTTTTATCATAAAGTTTGAAGCAACACTATTGTTATGTTGACAAGGTGAAGCGAAAGCACAAAATAATAATTCTTTTATTCGCAAGACAATCTACTGTTTTGCTTTGAATAACTATATTTGCGTATTGGGAATGAGGATTTTGAAATTATTGTTCAAATATTACAGATATACCATTTGTAAACAATGTACGTTTTTATATACAGTACTGTACGGGCTATTAATAATATATGTATCCGTTTTATTTAATAAATTATAATTGTATATGTGTTTGTATATTTTACAAACACAAGACTGCTTCTTGCTAAAATTGAGAAAATATATATTAATGTAGTTGTGTATAAGACAAAATTTCATGAAAGATTCTACTTTTGGTATATATTTTGACTCATTTTGTGCTTTCGCTACACCTTGTCAACATATTAAATAATAGTGTGCTTCGAACTTTATGATTAAAACCCCGACTAGACGTGTATACAAATAAAAATAGCAAGTTTATACTATAAATGAGTTTATTTTACCTGTATCGGTTTAAATTCGCCGTTAAGTTGCAAATAATTCTGCTTGAGCCAGACTGCATTGTTTGCAAAACGCGCGCGGGAGTTTTGAAACTGTCAATTGTAATGCGCGCTTGCAATTTGTTTTCATTCTAGTTGCGTAAAAATATGTGCGCCTAAGTAATGTAAAGTACTTATTCGCCATACATATCTCACTACTTTTCACTGACTGACTGAAGAAACTTTTTTAGCTCATAAGAGAAAAATTGATAGTCTGATAGTTCACAGAAGTGGCCTGAACGCAAACATTTTACTACATTCCGTCTCATTTAGATACAAAAACAGTCACATCGTTCAGTGGTCGATTGTTTTACTTTGTCTATTTTCTGAACTACTTGCGTCATCACCGTCATGAAAAACTTTAAGAGTCAACACAATCTTAATATATATGTTTTTAACTCAGTGTTATTTGCCTCAAGGCTTTTCATTAAACTTAAAATCAAAGTTCGCGATTTCATCTTCTTTGTTACGACAGTTTTTGGTAACAGAATACCATAGGCATAGTCTACGACAAAAATGGAAATGGGTTTGGAGACGAGGCAATTCTGTTCAACACTTTTGAGTAACCATTTTGAAGGCGAACAGACCTCGCATCTCGATACACTGGAACATTGTGGCGCTTCAATTTTTGTTTTGTATCTCCCTGTATATACAGATCGGCCATCTCGTCAAGCACACTATCACAGTGTAAGACAGATCGAAAGCACCAATCAACTTTAGCTCGCCCGGCAAGCGTTTCAGTCTTTTGTCCGCCATCTTGCTCCTGTGATTCAACTACTCGGTAAAATGACTCAACAACAGATTCCGTCCCAGTTTTTGCGTAGAGAATATCAAAAATCGTGCAGAATTCCTTCCCCACTTGCGCATAAAGTTCAGCATTTGTATAAAGAGCTTCAATAAACTTGTCTTCCTGGAACACAACGTCTAGGCATGATCCATCGCTAAGCTCTACCTCGTACTTGTCAAGCAAATCGAACTTTTCCAACAATTTCTGAAAACTGATTACTGTTACGTTGTAATTTATGCTGATGGTCTCGAGCTTCTCACTTCCTGAATTGATCTTTCCAAAGAACGTAACAAAAAGTGAAGGAAAAAGCTCTCCCCAAATGGTATTCAGTATTACTTTCTTCATTCTCCAATAAATTATTTCTGAAAATTCCGGGTCAATCTCAAGATCTTGGCTTTCCTTTATCGCAATGATGTGAGGAAGCCTTGCCACATAACCAACACACCTGTGAAAATCTTCGCGTCCAAGAGCGCAGAAAGAGGCTTTATTCACTGGGATTTCGGATCCTTTTCTTCTACCACACAATGCGTTAAAATGGTTACCAAAATCAAGACACCGATAAAGAAGATACATTAGCTTTGGGAGGCACTGATCTTCGCAATTTTTCAGTTCTTCCAGCATGCATGTGGAGAGTTCAGAAAGCTCTTTTTGACAATCTTTTATCTCGCGTTGTACCCACTTTACCGTTTTCTCTTTCGATGTTCCCGATATATCGACAGTATTACCAGAATTTTCTCCATTTTCTATCTCATCATCCGAATCAGTTTCTTCTTCTAACATGGTTTCTTGTTCTTCTGTCGCAATTCTAAATGTCTCGCAATCAACAATTAGCCATCCATGAACCAATTTTGATTTTCCATACCTAGATGATAAACAGAAAATCTTACAAACTGAAAAAAGTTCAGAACGTATGACTTAATTAATGACATTCGAAATTTTTGGTGTGAATTAATATTTCTTGTCTAAACCTAAGTTGCTACAAACCTGAGATTCTTTATTTCATTGCCATGTTCATGTATTCTAGGGCACACTAACTTGCTCGGATCCCTGCATTTAATTTCACGTGCAAATTTCTTCATCTGACTTTTAACAAGGGGAAGCCAACCAACAAACTTCCAGCCAGGACACCATAAACGTTGTCCTCTTAGCATGAGTAAAACCAGAGGCCACAACAAGTCTATTGTACCAAGGAGATCAAACACAAAATCATTGCCAGCGATCTTATAATCTCCGATTTCTCTGTTGTCATGATCACGGTAGGTTTCAATATAAACCTCCAGACTTCGCTCTAATTTTAGGAATTGGTTGTAGGAGCTGCTCATAAAACGCTGATGGGCAAACGATACTGTGACAAGAAATGGTAACTCCAGCTCAGCAGCAGTTGCCTTCGAAACACTATGGCTTTTTCCATGACTAAACAGATGGTGCACATAATTGGTCCTTGTTATAAGACGAGATATGAAAGGCTCTCCTTTATACTTCTCAAAAACTTTATCCAACCAGTGGCCTGGATCCCATTGTAACGGCCACCATAAAACGTCGGTGGGATCTTCTTGTTCAGCATTTTCATCACATTTAGAGTCGTCATCGCTTTCGTCTTCGTCATTCTCAGAGTTGTCATCGCTTTTTTCTTCATCACTTTTATCTCCATGATCTTTACCAACTTTATCCTCATCTCGTTTTTTTGACAAAAGTTGCTCTAGTGGCTCATTCATTTTTGATGTAAAAGGGGCATTCAAATATTGACCATCAAAGACTCTACCTTGCACCTTTAGAAAATCAGTGGTGTTTGTCGAGATGTTAGCGTGTCTGTTTAGATCTTCGTATAACTTGGCAGCTAGCTCTTCACCTTTTCCTCCTTGACCAGTTGCGTCCTGGTAAACATCAGTCATACCAAGAGGAATCGCCTGTCTTTTTCCATTTACCACTGGGCACACCATTGTGACTTGATTTGTAATTCGGTGGTTGGTACTTTTATCTGCAGTGATGTAGAAATGCGGCGGAATTCCCGTATTTGGAAGAGGATCTTGAAGAAACTTTTGGGTTCTTTTGTCGATAAAAGAATTCACAACGCGGATCATATCATTAAACAAATTGCGCGAGTGCCCATAATCACCAACATCTGCTCCTGCAAGATGCAATTCAGCTATTCTCTCTTCATAGCATCTGGCAGCTGATTTAGACTTTACCACACCAATCGCGGCTCGAAGTTGGTTTTTCACAACGGTACATTTTCTTTTGCGAACTGGTCTTGTAAAATGCCACCATGCAGCAGCATCTACATGCGTTTTGCACGTTTCTCCATCGAAATGATTGAGTAACCTGTTTTTAAAGCGATACCAGGTAACGTTGTGGCCAATCATGTACTTTTGATAGACTTCATCTACGACATTTAAGCCAGTGGAAATGTTTCCAGAGCTTGGGAGGTGTTGTGCATTTCGAACAGCAGTTTTACTATTCATATAAACAAAACAAATTTTGCATCGGACAGTCCATTTATCTGAACCTCCAATCACTTCAATGTCTTCTTGTTCGGTTATAAACTCAGTTATGTTTGTCGCAGAGCTTCCGCAACACATCTTTTTCTCGTGTTTTTTCTCCTCGCCCAGGCTTTTTTTATTTCCTGAAACTAACTTAAGAACAGTGTCAAGCTTAGAAACGATGTCATCTACAGTTACTGTGTCGGATGACTTGCACTTGGGATTAAGAATGAACTGATTAATTGAACTCTGGTGTTTTTCATCAGATAATTTCGCTTCTGCTTCCTTTGTAACAGTCTCGGTCACGGTAAGTGATGGATCCCCAGAATTACTTGAGCAATCATCAAGGATGGTGGGATTTTTATTTTTCATGTGAAGCAAATCTGCATCATGATTCTCAGTATTATCTTCTGAGTCTTTGATTTTTGTTGTCTCAATTTCACTCACCTTTTCAGCTGTGTTTCTGTAAACGGAAAACATTTTACAAAATACCTATATGATATTGCATAATTAAGAACAACAACATTGGGGTATGGCCATAACCAGACAGCTATAGAACAGTCTACAGTAGACGTAATTACCTAAGAACTTACATTTTTTTCAAGGCCCTCAATGCATGTATAGCCCTGCTATCGTCTTCTCCAACGACAAGGACATCAATTCCTCCATGGGAAGTTTCTATATGTCTTTGCACAGTTGACTTGTTAAAACGTGAAAGAGTGTACTTCTTCTTCTTTCGGAAACAATCCAGGCATATTCCCTTCGACAGCACATGCCCTGAATTACCTCGCTTCTTTTGCTTGCTAGCCGTTGCGGAATTTTCACTCCATGCCAAAATGTCAAATGCTACAAAAGGTAAAAGTAATCAAGATTTCAGAAATTACACCAAACCAAACCAAGCTATTCAATATCTTAAGTTAGGCATAAATGTGTCCAATCCAGAATATACTCTAAAATATCCATAACTTTCATCAACAATTTAGCGTTTTATCCAATATATTTAACCTTCTGTTTACTAACTACCTTCTATTTTACACACCTGATGGACGCTTCGTTCCAACTTGAATTTTTCCGGTTTTATTTGCACTATCTAATGTCGGAGGATTGTACTTCCCTTAAAAGTCAAACAACCAGAACAGTTAAATATGGTTAGACTGTATTTTGTACATAATATCAACTGAATATGCATAACATCAAACGTACAGTTACAGTGTATTACACATTAGGCCTACTTCTTGGTTATTTTATGAAGTATTTATGTTTCTTTAAATGGTTGGACAGTTGTGGTTTTTCGGTAGAACTGTAGCTTATGTATTCTTTAAAATTCTACCTTTATATATACTTCTTACTGGCAAAGTATTTCCCATTTGGTATCAATGAAATGTCGCACTAAAAAATCCAATGGCAATGATCTTCATAATATAACAGAATTTATGTACTGACAAACTTACCGCAATTATTACACACCACAGGCTGCCCAAATCCTTCCTCTGTTCCTGGAACAGGAGTCCCACATATAAAGTGGACAATTTGTTTGCATCTCACACACTTGTGTGCCCCTGTGACAGCTTTCTTGCAAACATTGCAGGCTGGAATTTAGAATTATTTGGTGTTTCAGTGTTTATTAATTTGTATACTTTATTACAACAGATTTACTGGTTTAATAGGTTAGCTCTCCTAAGTCCTAATTCTGCTTTAAATTAAGTAAATATAAAATTTTAATGAGTGGAAATATATTTCGGCAACACACACACTCACTGTCACATATTTTAATTGCATTATAAATTGAGTGTCGCCAATGTTCAGACTTTTGAATTTTGGGGGACTTGACTTTACTTCAAAATATTAAAGGGGCAGTGTCAGGCCATTTTGACCAAAAACTGTCTTGCAGTCAATATGTCAAATACGGAGCTGTCTGAGCAGAAAATTTGAAAATGTTTTAAATATTATATTCAGTTATGACAAACAAGTCGCGGTAAACAACTTTGAACGTCGATACAATGGCCCAGAACTTGAAAAGTTGTTGGCAAACAAAGTTCTGGGCAATTTGTTGATTTCAATCCAACTCAATCCTCGCTTGATTTTGCCCATCTGGACTTCTATACTGTACATGTTTTTGCACTTTCTATTGCTATTCTATTAAAACTATTCTTTCCAGTTTGTACAAAATTTAAGAGGATCAAAATTGCTTCAAATGAAATTCCCTGACACTGCCCATTAAATATATTATATATTTATATAAAAATGTGAATATCTATAAATCAAAATGTAAAATCTATAGCAAAGTGCCAAAGTACACCATTGACCATTCAACTATAATACTATATATTGAAACTATTCAGTTTATCAGCTATTCTGAAATCTGAAGTGAAATATGAAACAGAAATACTCACTGTTTGAGTTGGCAGTGACTGCGATGTTGTTAAAAATGTCGTGTGAATTAGAATTCGTCGAATCGTCGGAATCGATTTCCTGAGTGTTCTCAGCCTCAAGGACTTCAAAATTAGACATCTTAATAAATATTCATTATCCTATTGTCTTGTTTCACTAAGTAATTCACCATAAAAATGAGCAGTAAACATTCCACATTCGGTTAAAATTCCGCATCTTTTGTGTTGTTTTCCCTAAAATTCCACCACAACTCGCGCAGTGTTTCCGCAATACACCATTCAAATTTATTTGATTTTGCTTTAAAATTTCCTTGAATTTTGAATTTGCTTTTCAGGGACTTTTAGGATCAAATGTTCTTGAAATTTGAAAAAGAAATTTTCCTTGAAAGTGGAAACACTACTCAGCCTCTGGAGGTTGCGCGCGCACGTTCCGTGAAAGAAAGATGCGCGCTTTTTAATATATTTCCAACTAAAATGCGCGCGTTTTTGGTCGAAAAACACGAAATGTGCAAAAAATGCGCGCGGAATATGTTCCGCGCGCACGACAAACAATGCAGTCTGGTGCTTGAGAACGCAATAAATGGGCATTTCGCAACCAGGGCAGTTTCAGGGCAGTTTTGGCCTTGTTGTTGGGAAATCGACTAGCAATCTCGTTCCCCGAGCCTGCGATCCTCGGGAAGGAATCGAAGCACTGAGCTCTACTATATATATCTGGAGATCGTGCTCGCAAATCGAAAGTGTCCGCAAAAACATGGCGGATTTCGAGCTCCACGTCCACTATTCTCATGGTACATTAACTGACCACAGCTCAAATGCGTGCGGGCGACATTTCCCACTCCCCCCTGACCAGACAGCCACTGATCTTTATAATTTTTAAAAAAGGAGTACATTGGAGAAGATTTGAAATTAGTAAATATTTATAGTTACATATAGGTGTAAAAGGTTTCTTCTGAACTTTACCAACTACTATCAAGTTCAAGCTGGATCATTAATTCATTCGAGCGACTATCTCCACAATTTCTGCTGTGAAATGTATAAATGATGATCCAAACAGATAGGGCCATTCCATTTAATATCTACACCCCCCTGTCGACGACGTCTTCGGAGGGGTCCTGAAAATTTGTATTTCTTAGGGGTTCTAAAAATGGTAATTTCCGAAGGGAACAAAAAAATCGCATTTTCTTAAGGTGGCTCCCTACAGTTCTCTAAAATTCTAGGTATTTTGAGTAACGTTCGCTTTGAACCGAATTTATATTAGATACACTTAAGACAAGGCAACATGATCATTTTCAGGAAAGTTCAGAAGCTGTGTGCTGTCCATTTATGAACAAATTATAACAGTGTTCGTGTTGCCATGGCAACCATGACGTTTAATCTTTTGCACTTTTATTGTCTAATTTCACAATAAATTGACAATATCTATATTTTCCTTCGGTGAATTTTTCTGAATTTTTTTTTGAAGATTTATGGCCCACAAAGGAAAAACATATCAAAATTTGAAGGGAATTTACAAATAAGTTTTCAAGATATTCGTGAATGACGGTTACAGAAAAAGTTATTTGTAGAATTTCTTAAAATTTGGATATGTTGTACCACTCGTCTTGTATAACAAAAATACAAAGTTTAAAAAAAATTCACCGAAGAAAACACGAGAAAATCATCGCTAAAATCGGCGTGGCCAGCAAAAAAAAAATCGACTCGACATGAGCACGATCTGCGCATGCGTGTAAATTGTAGCGTGTGATTTATTGTGATTTCAACTTTTTGGCTTACAATACATACGAAAACAGATATTTCTGACTTGTTTGACATGAAAATAAAATATCAATTTTGAAAATACTAATAAAAAAACACTATTATACGCATTGTATTAAATCCACTGTTAGTTTACATTTGTTTTTGTTGTTAAAATCGGTGTGAAAACTTTTCAAAACATCGAACTACAAGTTTATTAACTTTTCATATAAAACAACTCATAACTGTTTTATTTGATTTAGCAGATAAAACGATACCTCTGAATTGTATTGATTGACAGAACTTACATAAGTTTCGGCGACAGTTCACTACTGTTCAAGAGTTAATAGAAGACAGTATCATTTCAGTTTGACAGTTCGCAACACAACAAGTTGAAAATTTTGAGCAATATGAAAGACATACTGAACGTAAAAACACACTAAAAGATAGGTTTAACTAGTTAATAACATATGTACTGTTATAACATACGTACTGTTCGAATTCAGAAAAAAATAAGGATTATAATGAAAAACTGGAGCTTTCTTTGTAGATAAAAACGCCAAAAAAACTTCCCGTGGCTTGTTTCAATATTTTTGCCGAACAGTAAACACGACGATTCCACGCGCAGGTCGCGAGGGTGAAGTCTGATCTATATAAATCGTATATAAATCGTATTTAAACTGTACTAACTGTAGGGAGCCACCTTAAGGGTTTTCGCTAATCAGCGAAATTTCCGAGCCCTTCAGCAAATAGGCGAAAAGCTGGACGGGCTGTCGACGACATTTTCCGAATGGTCACGAAAATTAGGGCTGTCGACGACATTTTCCGAAGGGTCACAAAATCATTCAAAAACAATTCCGAAGGGTGGAAAAATTGGTGACGTCGTCGACAGGGGTATTTCAGAGGGGTCACTTAGTTTCCTTAAGAATATAGAAGAAAACATCAAATTTCTGAAGGGCTTTCAAAATTCTGACGAATTTCCGAGGGGGACTTATAAAAACATGCTTCTTAGGGGTGTGAAATTGGAAGACGTCGTCGACAGGGGGGTGTAGATATTAAATGGAATGGCCCATAATATAAATGAGCTGAACGAATGGTGGTATTTTTGCCCATGTCGCATGTATGCTTTTGGAGTATCGGTAGGTGCAGACCTACAGTATTTTGTGTGGAGCCGTAGAAAATGAGTAATAAATTACTAAATTAACGAGAAATTGAAATAATTGTCATGATGGGAAACAAACTTTTGAAATTTCGAGGACTATGGTGATTCTGTTTCCATATGTTAATAAATAAACAACAAAAGCTGAGAAGCACTACAGGTGAGGCATTTTTCAAAATTTTAATGAAACACTTGTACTGTACCATACATTCATTTATTGAAATATACTATAATTTATTACTATTGTATAATATTTCAACTCGATTACTACTTGTATATAATGCACATATCAATGGCCTGGCCCTGGGGGTACACCCCCGGGACTTTGCAAAAACATGATTCTAATGCATTAATTCCCCCTCCCTCCCCCGGGAAATGTGTAAGTCAAACTGCCCTCCCCCTGGGCTTACAATAAAGTAGTTCATAATATAAATAGCATACAAACAATTAAAAATTATTATACAAACTGGGGTATCACAATGGCACTCATGTATTCCGTATTTATTTATTCAAATTTTAGCAAGACCACTACAAAATATCATAAATAATAAGTTGCCTATCGATATTTTTCTGTGTGAGCCTGTGAGTTTGAGTTCACACCAATAATGTACTTCATTTATAAAATTCAAATTGTCACGTCAAAGTCCCCTACTTCCCCTCCCCCCATCGTCCTATTATTGCGAAGTTTGTAAGGGAGTGGTCATTATTTATGGGAGGGGGGGAAATGGGAGGGGGGGGACAAAGTTTTACCCTTATAAATAGGGGGGGTCAAAAAAGTTTTAACACAGAGAAAGGGGAGGGGGGTCATAAAAGTTTTTGAACTTAAATACCATGTCTAGAGTTGTGATTTCTATAATCACAAATAGCAAAAAAGAAGACTCTGAAAATGCTATTTCCAACAATCTAGATACTCAAAATTTCCCTGCTCTGGGGTGGACATCTACAAAAAGGGACCATACTATATTGAGTGCGGAGAGATGACAGATGGTTGTTGGTGACAAAAAGTTTGGTGTGGTATTGTATGTACTAGTAAGGGAGTCCGGGGATTCTCCCCCAGAAAATGTTTTGTATTTTTCCACCCCTAGAACTGAAATGTAAGCATTTTCTGAAACAAATTTTTGGATATACAACGTTACATTGTGTGTTGATAGACCGAATCTGATCAGTTAAGTGTATTTGCATGGTATGTTTATGTAAATACCACAACTGGGTCACTCAGGGGGTAGCAAGCTTGTTAAACTTAGTGTGCCCGACTCCCATGATTGCGAGGCACTACCATGGTTGGTGCCCAGACAAGTTCTTAAAAAAAACGCTGTGTTCAAATCATTTTGCTGTATGAAGACGGGTCATGGGTTAGGGTTATGGTGGGACAAATGTTGCATTGCAAAGTAGTAACACATAATATATATTTTTAATCACATATGGTTGAATCATATTCACCAGGGTAAAACATCATGAGCTATATTAAACAGATTGTCCTAATATCTAACTTTACATGCAATGCACACCTGTTTCATTGCTGTTAATTTTTCAATCCACACTGGGGGGTGGGGGTCAGAAAAGTTTCTACTTTTATGAGGGGGGAGACACAAAAAGTTTGCCTTCAGTCTGGAGGGGGGTCAAAAAAGTTTTCAATCCTTATTTTCCCCATTTCCCAACACCCCCCTCCCCATAAATAATGACCACTCCCTAATCTCCCCGGGGTTCACAGGCAGAACACACAGATAAAATACCAAATTCCCCCTCGTTTCCCCCCAGTTGTCCCAGGGTGTACCCCCTGGGCAGGCCGTTGATATGTGCATAATTCTCTTTCAAATTGTATAAAAAGTATGTTGTTCCTTTTGCATTTCTACTATACATATAATTTTAATGTATAAATTTGTGAACACAGCCATGCTTTGTTGAAACGAAACTTATGTCGGTTTATGCATGTATCATCTAAATATTTACTGCTGTTTGTATTTTTCAGATTATGGAAACTGCACATTGTTGATCATGTCTACTCACAATGTACGCTGTGCACATTATGGGGAAAGTAAATCTGCACTAATAAATACCCAAATGTATATGGCTCTACGTTTGTCACTGGAATCATTGTTATATTCGATGGCAATTCATGGCAATAGAATCATATTGTTTGACCAGGCAAAAGATTAGTTAATTAAAGATCTAGCACACCAAACAATAATTATATATTATTTTATTAAACATATTCTTATGTGCATTATTAATTTTCATTACAAATTAGATTTATTCAACATTTAAAAAATTTAATTTAAAAATATATACAATATTATTATATTACTATTACAGGCCATCAATAAGTATTCTTGGTTTCATACCCATGTTTTATTTTGTTAATTCCATAAGGGTATTCTCGGGTTGTCCCAAATGATACAAGTGAAACACGCACATAGCTATCGCTTTTAATAAAAGAGTACTTGATGTCATATTTACTTCAATATATTTTATTGAAGCTATGCTGGCTATAATTAGCTGATATTTCCAGTGGTGGCACCAGCAGTGGGGACATCCCCCCCCCCCCTAAAATATTTTTCAAACCAAGAATATTTATTAATGGCCTAATAAGTGAAGCGAAAGCACAAAATAATAATTCTTTTATTCGCAAGACAATCTACTGTTTTGCTTTGAATAACTATATTTGCGTATTGGGAATGAGGATTTTGAAATTATTGTTCAAATATTACAGATATACCATTTGTAAACAATGTACGTTTTTATATACAGTACTGTACGGGCTATTAATAATATATGTATCCGTTTTATTTAATAAATTATAATTGTATATGTGTTTGTATATTTTACAAACACAAGACTGCTTCTTGCTAAAATTGAGAAAATATATATTAATGTAGTTGTGTATAAGACAAAATTTCATGAAAGATTCTACTTTTGGTATATATTTTGACTCATTTTGTGCTTTCGCTACACCTTGTCAACATATTAAATAATAGTGTGCTTCGAACTTTATGATTAAAACCCCGACTAGACGTGTATACAAATAAAAATAGCAAGTTTATACTATAAATGAGTTTATTTTACCTGTATCGGTTTAAATTCGCCGTTAAGTTGCAAATAATTCTGCTTGAGCCAGACTGCATTGTTTGCAAAACGCGCGCGGGAGTTTTGAAACTGTCAATTGTAATGCGCGCTTGCAATTTGTTTTCATTCTAGTTGCGTAAAAATATGTGCGCCTAAGTAATGTAAAGTACTTATTCGCCATACATATCTCACTACTTTTCACTGACTGACTGAAGAAACTTTTTTAGCTCATAAGAGAAAAATTGATAGTCTGATAGTTCACAGAAGTGGCCTGAACGCAAACATTTTACTACATTCCGTCTCATTTAGATACAAAAACAGTCACATCGTTCAGTGGTCGATTGTTTTACTTTGTCTATTTTCTGAACTACTTGCGTCATCACCGTCATGAAAAACTTTAAGAGTCAACACAATCTTAATATATATGTTTTTAACTCAGTGTTATTTGCCTCAAGGCTTTTCATTAAACTTAAAATCAAAGTTCGCGATTTCATCTTCTTTGTTACGACAGTTTTTGGTAACAGAATACCATAGGCATAG